GTGCGCACTAAAATACTTTGCCATACTTTTTGTACTTAAAATATTTCCTCCGTTCTCCATCTTACGATAAATATATAGATGGTACCCCAATATAAGCTTTGCCTCGTACGTGACACTCTAACCGTAATAAAAGTAAACTTTTAATTTAAAAATTTATTTTTAAATAGCTTTAATTAAAGAAGCTTACTATTTAATAATTGCTATTTATCTTAAGTAAAATAAATATATTAAAATAATTAAATAAAATTATTATTAACTTTTATTAAAATAAAATATTTAAATATATATTTATAATTATTATAATTATTAATAAAATAAAGTTCCTTAAAATAAAATATTTAAACTATTATATTTATTATTAATCCTTATAGTTATTTAATATTATATTATAATTAATAGGAAGGATATAGCTTTAAATAAATATAATTATAATTATATATAAATATTTATTAATAAATTTAACCGTTTATTAATTATAATATTTAATAAAAAGAATAATATAACGGAAAATATAATATATTAATATTATAAATATACCTATTATTTTTTAAACCTTTTAAAGGTATAAATTTTAAATAATATAAAACCCTTTATTTTAAGCTTTTTAATAAAGATTAATAAATTAATTTATATTAAATATTAATATAAAAGCGCTTTTTATTCCTAAATATAAAAAGCTATAAAGTTTATAAATTAAAAGTTAAATTAATAATTATACTTTTATATTAATAAATATTAAAATAATTAAAGCTTTTATTTATTTATATTAAATTTTATATATAATACCTTTTAATATTTAACTATTAATATAATATTATTAAAGGTTTTAATAGGAATTAATATAAAGAACCTTTTATTATTACCTTTATTAAATATTATTAAAAAGATAACATTTAAAAGGTTAGCTTAATAATTAATATAATAAACCTATAAAGTATAAAAAGTAATTTATAAAGTAATAAAAGTTATATAAAAGAAATAAGAAATATAAATAAATAAGAAATAATATTTAATAAATTTTTATATAAAAAATAAAGTCTTTTTAAAAAAGAAGGGCTTTATAATTAATAGCTTAACTATTTAATTAAACTTTTAATAAGTTAAACCCTTTAAAATATTTAAAAAAAAGAATATAGCTATATATTAAACCTTTTAAAATTAATAAAAATAATTAACCTTTTTTATATAGATTATTTATATAAAGTAAGTAAAAACTTATTACCTTAATAAACTTAACCATTATTAAAACTTAAAGATATTAAAAAAAACCGGAATAAAAAGTTAAATAGCTATTTAAGTTATAAATAATAAAGTATAATAAAACGTTATAATATTAAATTATTTAAAAGGGTTATAACTTTAATAATATTTAATACTTAATAAAGAATTTTAAAAATTTATTAATTAAAATATAAAAGTTTTATAAAAAATAGCTTAATATATTAAAATTATTTAAATAGTTAAATAAATAAATAAAAGCTATAATAATTAATAAATTTATTATTAATTACTTTAATAATAATATTATTATATAAAATAGCATTATAATTAAAATTAAACGCTATAAATAATTTTTTAACTTATTTTATATTTATATTTTAATTTTAATAAGGGGAAGTATAATAAATATATTAAATATATATTATATTAAAATATTATATAATATATCTTCCATTTAACCTAGCCACCCAATTAACCTGGCCACATTTTTAACCTTCGTACGTATATAAAAAAAATCTCTTATTTCTCCATTAACAATTATAAAAACCCTTTATAAAGAAAATAACCTATAGCTTATACTTTAAGCTATTAAATAAAACTTAAAATTATCCATTTAATACATTATTACTATTTATAATATTCCTTATATAACATTTACCTTTTAAATGAAAGGTTTTAAATTAATAAGTAAAATACTAACTTTAAAAGCCTAATTAACTCTGGATAAAGAAAAATTAATTATATAATACATCCTTAATCTTATAGCAAAATTGTTTCCGCCTTTATATATTTATATAAAAGATATAGCTAATTAATTAATAGTATTATAGGGTTAAAAGCTAGTTAAAAAGAATTAAATGTTAAACTTTATATAATAAACTTTATATATTTAAATGTATTTTAATTAAAGAATTAATTATTAATAGGTATTAAATAAAAATTTAATTAAATATTATATTTAATTTATCCTTATATAAAAGATAATAAATAAAAATAATATTTAAAAAGAAAATATTTATAACTTTAATAAAATTAAGTTTATAATAAGTAAAATTATATTTAAAATAATTATAACTTTAATTAAATATAAATAAAAACTATAAGCTATTTAATTAAATAATTTAAAATGGTTTATAATTATTTAAATAATTTTATTATATAGTTAAATTATTCTACTATATATTATTTTAATAGGAAAAAACTATTTTATACCTTAATATAAAAATAATAATATATTAAATAATTAAAAAAATTATAACTATAAAAAATAGTTAAATAATAAATAAATAAGCTATAAATTAAATTAAATATTTTAATAAATATATAAAGCTTTATATAAAAGGATATTATTACTTTTTTCTTTTTAATAGTTATAAAAGTTACTATTTATATAAATTTAAATTATATTATAAAAAAAATAATATTATTACCTTTTATATACCTTCTTATTCCTTTTATTACCTTTAATTATTTAATATTAGGATATTTAACCCTTTAAAATAATTATATAAAAAATAAATTAAAGGCTTTATATAGGTATATATTACCTATATTTAAAAGGAAGATTTTATAATTACATTTTTCTATATATTTAATAAAGCAATTATTCCAAATAATATATAAAGGGGATTTAAAGGAATAGGTTTAATATTATATAATTTAAATTATATTATTAATTAGTTAAATTATCCAATTATACCTTAAATTAACCTTTTATCCTTAATACTATTTAATCCTTATATAATTATAATTTTAAATAACCTAACTAAAGTTAATTCCCTTTTTAAATATATTAAATAAAGGATTATATAATATTAAAATAACTTTCTTACATTTATTATTAAAAGATTAAGTTAAATTATATATAATATAATTAATATTATATATTATTTTATATTATTAAAAGGGGAAGTTAAAAGCTTTTATAAAATAAATTATAAGCTTAATAAACGTTACTATATAAAAAGAATTAAATTATAAAATAAAGGATCTTTTATTATTAAAGATATTAAAGATTAAATAAAGATATAGGGTATTCTTAAAATAAAAAATTGTATTATACGTTAAAGTAATCGTTATATAAGGAGGAAGAAGACTTATACCTAGCATTATAGGGCTTATAGTAAACCTAGCTATAATATATAAACTTATAAAAATATTATAAAAACGTTTAACGATTTAGATTTAGATTAATTTAAGTTAATTGTATAAATAATTATTAAAATATTTTTAAATGCGTGTACGAAGGTTAAAAATGTAGCCAGGTCAATTGGGTAGCCAGGTTAAGTAGGAGATACATTATATTATAAAGGGATATTATAAAGATATATAAAACCTATATTAATAAAGTTATATAACCTATAATAGCTATTAGTTTATATATATTTCTATATATATTTATATTTTAATTTTATCTTTTCTTTCTTTCTTTTTTAGCTTAAAATCTTCATTTATAGCATTAATATAGCTATGCTTTAAACCCCTAATTATAATAAACTTTAACCTAAAATATTTATATAGAAAAAAATTATAAAAATAAACGTAATATATTAAAAGATACTAAATTGTTTAATAAATTTAATTCCTTTACTTATTTATTTTTATTATTTTTATTAAATTTATAATATATTATTAAAGGTAGAAATATTACCTTTTTAAAGTAATAATTTATATAGAAAAATGTATAGTATTTTAATGCGTGCTGCACTATATTTTTCTTACTTAAAATATTACCCTAAAAAGGTAATATTTTTACCTTTAATAACATATTATAAATTTAATAAAAATGGTAAAAATAAATAGGTAAAGGAATTAAATTTATTAATTAATTTAGCATCTTTTAATATATTATATTTATTTTTATAATTTAATTATATATAAAGATTTATATTATATAGTTAATTTTAAAGTTTAATATTTATATATACTTTTTTTAATTAATTATTTATTTTTTTATAAAATATAAATTATTAAGGTTTATATAAGACTTAAGTGTATAATACTAACACTTTAGGTGGCCTATAAGAAGGTGGCCCGCAAGGCGGGGGGCTAGCTTATACTATAATTTATTAGCTATTAATAGGGCAAGTAATAATAGGAAATAAAATTTAACGACTTCCTATTATAGGCTATATTAAAATAGGTTATCGCTATTATTTAACCTATACTATAATTACTTACCCTTATGCTTATAGTAAAAATCCCTATCGCTCTTTTCCTTTCTTTCTTTAGGGCTTATCCCTTTACATTATATATAAATGGATTTAAAGATATTACTGATATTACGGCATATATATGGCGCATGATCGACTAATGTTACATCTTCTATACTATATCGACCTAATTAGCCACTATCCTACTCACAATTCGTCCGAAGTAGTATTTATATTAAAGCCTTATTAGCAATATCCGATACGTATTACCCTGGGCTATTATATATTAAGTTAAAAACTTGGACGAAGCACATGTATAGAGCTATTATGGTTTGGTCTTTGGTGGGAGCTTTGTCTTTAGCTTTGTCGATATTGTCATCGTGGATTTCATTTGGATATGGACTCTAACCACAGGCAGAATGAAGCTATAAGTGTCTGTCGTTCCACTACGATCTACATTGTAGGCGCAAAAGCGCCATCATGCTAGACAGATCGAAAAGACTAATGTATTTCACTAAGAGGTAACTACCTAGGTAGCTAGCACACCGTGGAGAGTAAAGTTACGTTCGGGCACCTCATGTTTAGCACTTGTATCTTCCTGGTTCACACTTCCTGGTCCTGAGTCTATACCTTGGCGGATGGGACTCGCTCTTTGTAATCTCATCTACCTCATCAGGACTTGAATTCCTTTCTGTTGTTGAGTCGTCGGATGCCTAATAGATTACCAAACTTCAGTATGCAGTATCTAATTAGTGTAAGTGGTGTGTTTCAACTGGGTCGTACCTCTGTTCCGGATGGGGCATCAGTGCTGAATGATAAGTACATGCGGTCTGGAGATATCTTCGTCTTCGTTCTCTTTTGAGGATAACACTTCAGTTCCCGATCTCTTTCAGACTCCACAGACCTTTTTCTGCCAACTCGTCTTGTGGGCTCTGACATGTCGATTGGTAGCACGAGTTTCTCTGTATGTAGATCGGGATAGTCATCAAGGATTTGGTGGTGATTCCCAGCGAGGACATGGAGCACCCAAAGTGCAAGATTCACTGTCAGTTTTTGATACTTGTCATTATTCTCGTCTGTGCCATGTCTCCATGGGATGGACACGTATTCCATTAAACCTCTCGTTTTAACAGCTTCCTGAGGGGCTAGCAGCTCTTCAGCAGAGCCTGGTTCAGCTGTATCTAGACATTTAGTTACGGCGTTTGTATCTGGAGGATGCTGGTGGCACTCACCCGAGTATTGATCTCGCGGCCTGATGCGGAAAACGAAGGCTTCTTCTGTTGTAAGAAGGCAGCCGTACCGGCATCCGAACTCAACAGAGTATGTATATGCCTGGCGGATGGGCATAGTATCATTGCGCCGGATACGGCCGGGTCGCCATTCTCCCGTCCGTTTGTCTACGTGCTCCCCATTACGTATTTTTAGGCTAGTCCAGCTGCGTGCACATTTATGGTCTTTCGGGAACCTTTCCTTCTTCGTCCTGTGATCCTGCTCATGTATAGAATAAGCGCCAGCATCAGGTCGAAGGGCGACTTTCTGTTTATGATCTGATCGATCTGGTTTGGAGGCTTTCTGTACCCAAATGCAAGGGTTGAGCTCATCTTTGACTGCTTCAAGTGCAATTGAAACAATGGAATCATTCCATTTCGTTATCAAGCTTGTTGTCATAGGTTCATCTTCAATTCGGCAATCTTTGACTAAGATGGAGGGATAATGTAGAAGAGCATAACGAGGAGCTCGCGCGGCATTCATTAGCTGCCCTTCGTAGATCTTCTCCAAATTCTCAAAATGAAACTCATCCCACTTTCTTACCTCCCGTGGCCAGTAAAAATCAGGATTGTGAGTGTTGGGATTACTGTCCGGAGATAAAACGACATGAGGGTTTCTATGCGTGAGAAACTCAAGAATAGATCTTGCTTTCGGGTTGCCTTCCATTGAAAAGAACACGTGGATTAGTGAATACCGTCTGGCTTGGTGGTCACTGACAACAGTATGAACAGGCTGTAGAACTTGACCACTTTCTGGAAATTATGGCATTGAACACGGAGCCGACCCCCTCTTCTCTATTCGATTGCTGAAGTCCTCACGTGAATGATTATGACCTGGTTCCGGTCGCATCGCGAAGCTCACAGCATTTCGGGCTTTGAATGCGCTGGTCTGCAACGACGATTGGCTGCTCCCCCCCTTTGCACCACCTCACTCGGGTGTATTGTGCTACAGAACTTCGAAAATGAAAGATTTCAGAACAGGTTTTTGGCCCACATCCAAGGTAGTCAATTAAATTGTGAGGCTGGTAGAAGGGATGATCCGAGCTACCGAAGCAAGGGAGCACCTACATTATTATCGGCCTTTAGTCGTGATTGTTCCCTTTCGATCACAACAAACAAGGACAGTTTCATACACATACCTCAATTTTCCCTGATGATAGCATAGCTTATGAATAACAAGTATGCCGAGGCGAAAAGCAAGAGTAGTTTCATCACCAACAGCATCATTGCCACCATGTCCCGGCCCGAAGCTGAGACCTTTCCGGCACCAGGACGCTTCCATCAAGTGGGGTCCAAGACTCGATACAGCTCGTCCAGAAACCGGTAGCCAAGGCTTCGTTTTCCAAGCTGAGATCGCATCGCGCCAATACGCGATAAAAGTAGTAAGTACAGATTCAATGGGACTGCTTAGATATATCACCTTAGTAATGATGATTATCTTAGTTCAAATTCTACCACCCGAAAAGCAACAAGTTTTATTGGGAAACCTACCTAGGAAAGTCTTATCCTTTGAGAAAGGCCCTGTTTTACACGGATCCATTCTACGCGGAATGTCGAGCGTATGGAAGAATCAAGGAGACTCGAGACGAACGGAAGGTAAAAGCAAATGTCGCAACACGATGCCATGGATATCTATTCTTACGTACCGAAGATATGAATTTCCTTCGAAGAGAAGCGGGCATAGATTTCGACACGAATGTAATTGACGAGAGTCTAAAGCGCGCTCTAGGTGGAAACATTCAAGTCAGAGCTATAGTGAAAGACCTCGAAACTGGACAAACAGGCGTTCAAAAGCATAACATTGAACATGCGTGGAGGAATGTCAGCTTGCTGAACAGCTTAGGCATTTATAACCGCGATATACGAGCGGATAACTTCATGAACTGTCGCATTGTCGACTTTGGATTGTCTTGGACCGAGCCTCATGCTATTTTGGATAACGCAGATGTAGATGAGGCCAGAGAGCAGAGACTAGGCGATTGCGCTCAGTTTGAGGAGATGGCGGAACTGGAAGGTATCAAGACGACCGCGAAGATACCGCCTTTCCGTTATAATTTGCGACCTAGGAAGAAAACGTGGAAGGCTGCGTAGGGATGTGTCTATCATACGTTGAAAGAAAGCCTGAGCCTGGAGATCATGGTTGTGTGCTTGGACAGCGTCCTTGAGGATTTCAATTTTGAAGCGCGTAGCGCCAGCCGCCTTTTCATACTACTACCAGCCTTAAGACCAAGAAATCCCCTGTAACTTGAGTTGCGCTTCAAAATGCGGCTATATATAAAGACCCCAGTATAACAAGACCGTGGAACCTGTCAATATTCCTATATATGGACGTGCCAGTGTTAGGTAGCTAGTTCCCCTGTTAGCCAATGGCTTTGATCGAAGGTAACTTATAGATGCATCGTCCAAACTTACAGTATATGTTCCGTTCGCAGCTGTCGATGAGACAGACGATGTCGCGCTGTACTGGCAGGAGGTTGCTGTCGATGATTGTATCGGGGCAGTGGTAAGAGTGATTGGTGGCTCGTTTCCACCCGATCTTCCGCCCTCCGGGGAAGTTCGCAATTCGCAAACCTCGGCAACTGTTGTCCGCAAGCCATACGGAAGAGATCGAAGCCAGAGCTTGGAAGCCCTTAAGATGAGGACACAGCAGATTGAATGGGATGACCTAGCCGTCCCTCAATTCGGGGTAGTAAAGGAAGCACTCAGACAGGCACACGCTCATGTAGAAGATGTCTGGGCCGCCATAGCTACGGCCGCCACAGCTGGAGATAATCGGGCTTTCTGGCTTGAACTTGGGGCGATAAAGCCACTTTCGACTGCGGTAGATCTCCTGAAGCTGCTCAGGTCTACCGAGTCCATTGCTTTTGGACCGGGTATGAAGGAAGCGATAGTATCCTACGGTATTGCCCTTACGGGTGTACAGCATTTAACCTGGATTCAGCGTGCGTTTTTAAAAAGAAACCGACAAGCCCTTCACAATGAGCTGCGCCAACTGGGTCATAAAACGTGGAAACCAATTGAGGTATCAGATTGGTTATTGTTGGAAATAGATAGCAACATTATCATCCGAGATAAGCAAGTCAATGTCGCAAAGGCCATGATCGACTCAACCCTTGGGAACGGTGTTCTGCAACTCAATATGGGGAAAGGTAAAGTACAGTAATATCATTGACTACCGAGCTGCTTGATACTGACAGCCTCACAGGGAAGACTTCATGTATCATCCCCATGGTTGCAGCAGTTGGGCATCACGGCACATGGATTGTGACTATTGACCTTTCTAGCAGCGATGTTCATTGCTTAGACAGACTCGTTCACAAATGTTCTAGTCTCGAAGGAATAGCCCTTCGCTGACTAGGATCATATCGTTAATAATCCTATCACCGATAGTTCGTATAAACTCCATCAGAGTCCATGGCTTTAAAACTCGACTTTAGGGGAAGCGCATCAGATACCTGCCATGCCATAAGTTAAGTTATAAAGTTCGTGATATAGGAGTGCATACCGTTTATTCTTCCTAAAGACTCTTAATCCTATTCCGTCCATACCCCCCCTTTTTACCCAATGAAGTCTCCTTATTGAAGGTTCCATCCGGCTTTAAAGGGAGAGCAACTTTCAGCGCGAGCCCTTGAGCCTCCAGGCAGCTCTCAAGGTAGAGGCTAGCTGAAACCTTCTGTCGGACCATGGTGCAGCAAAGAAGAGGATCGAGGTAGCCCTTTTGGACTCGGGGGAAGGCCTGGCGAGCTCTGCTCTGCCGGCTCGCGAACTTATACTAGAGCCGGGAGTGCGGTCTAAGTCCAGGCGCGATATCGACTCGAGGCACATGGCGAGGCGGCCCGTTTTGCTTCTTCGGCCATCCTCGATTTCGAAGGCGAGGCCGCTTGGGGCCTTGGTGGGCCAATTCTGGATCTCGCGCAGCGCGTGGGAGCCCAGAGCCATATTCGGCTCTTGGGCAGGGAAAGAATCCTTGGGTGCCTGGCTGTCGGCGCACGAATGCTGTGCTCCATTGCTGGACCTCCAAGTATCTTTGCGGTACCTTGGCCACGATCTCTTGTAGTCTGAGGTATTGCCAGCTTGCTGCGTCCGGAAGCAGACGCGATGCCGTCGCACCGGTGGTTTATACCACTAAACCACTGATGCGTTGATTGGTCAACTGCTTATGTGTGTATCTGCTGAAAATATAACTTATAAGCAATCACATAACAAGGATTTGAATTGATCGTGGTCTCCTGCCTCGAAGATATATATAAGGAGTCAGATGGTGAAACAAGTCAAGATCAATTAGTTTCTAAATTAAGTCTACTTTATCAATCCAATCATAAAAGCGTTATCGATCGATCGCCCAAAAATCTCTAAGAGAACGCTCATAATCCATTAATCCAACCGCAAATCTCTATGCAACGTTATCAAGCCAGTCTTTCAAACACTTGGCTTGTATGCCGTTGACACATGATCTAGATTTTGCCTTGCCCCGGTGTTTGCCCATGTGGGGTCATGATTGGCATTGTGAAGACCGTCATCTTCGCCGGGGTTTATGAGCCCTTCGCGGTCGCTGTCCGGCGAGTGATCGCGTGAGTGCGCATCTAACTTGTTCGTCTCGATCTGTGCGTAACGTGGTCGATTCCACGGCTGCATGCGGTCCATGAACCCAGGCCCAACATTGGCGGGTCGAGACTCGCGCGACATCAATTCCGTCTCATTGGCGTAGGTATTTTGCTTCTCGCGGTGGAGCGGCAGACGATAACCTGAGGCCGTGGGGCGGATGAAGAACGTCAGCGCGAAAGCAATTATGGCGGCGACGCTCGCTGCGGCGCTGAGGCCGAAGGCGGTGGAGTCAGTGGCGGTCTTCACGCCGACGTCGCTAAGTGCGCTGTTGAAGGAGTCGCGCAGCTTGACGAAGGTCACGATAGAGGCAACGGTTGCTGTGGATAGGAGTATCGCAACAAGTCCAGAGCTGATGCGGCTGATGAGGATTGCGCGCTCGAAGCGGCGAGATAGCACGATTGCGGTGCATGATAGAAGAGTAAGGAGCGCCGATACGATGTACGCTACAGCGACGAAAGTAGACACTTCTGCGTACGTGCGCAGTTGGCCGTACTGCGCAGCTGAGCGGTCGAGTTTGAGATTCGAGCCGGGGTTGAATGTGAATCCGACACGGGGCGCATAGCAAGACGACGATCCATCATCGTTGCGACCACATGCTGTTAAGAGGGAGACGGAGTAGTCGTTAGACAAGCCCAGACTCTCTCTTGTCTTGTCCTGGCCGACAAAGTCGCTTCCGGATATCTTGGAGAGATCTTGCAAGAATATTGAGCCGCTCAGCTTTGCAGGTATGGCTAGATCTGTTGTATCAACCTAGAGTCGTCAGTCTCGCTCTTGATGGTATTCTAAGTCTGCCATGGAAGAATTACCGTTAGGTATGATGCCGTAGTATGGCTACCAACGCCAGAGAGTAGCGTGACTAAGGTGAAGACGAGTGATATGAGAGAGAGTAAGATTGCGAGGGCCCAACTTGGGCCAGTAGACATTCGTGCAGCCATTATTAACAAATTAAGAAGTTAAATAGGTGTCACTACCAATTTAGCGATTTCCTTGATGAACCGGATATGAGGTGAATGACTAGGAGAAATGAGCTATCTCTACGATCGCGACGCTGACGATTATAAAGACCAAAAGAGGTTTGACTATATCACGGAGAGATATCACGTAGTTATCTAAGTATAGGTACTGTGACCTGGCTGACAAAAGAGGAGATCACAACAGCATCTCGCATTAGCCGCAGATGCAAACTAATTAAAGACCAAACGGCGTGGTTTCAGTGTCATTGGCGATGTGTTGTATAACCTAACGGGAGCATCTTGGACAGTTCGGCGCGTATCGACTCGCTTGCTTGCTTACAGGCTTGCTAAGCCTCGCCTACCAAAGCGCGGAACGACAGCTGGCCGTTGGGAGCATCCCAGCATCCCAGCATCCCTGCTCCCTCGAGCTGCATGTCCATGTGTGCAATTCCTCATCTAGCGGACGGCACGCTGTGCGTGATTCCTAATGCTACATGTCAGAAATAGAGGCCTTGCTGTTCTAGGTAGATGGAGAGACCCTGCAGCACCTGAAGTTTCGAGATCCAGCATTGCGATTGGTCGCTTGTTTTCTCGGATGTTCTCCCGTGCCTTTCGTTTCGTGGCGGAGCCCGCTCGGAACTTATCTGATCCGCCCCAGCCATTCGGATACCATCTATTTGTTTCAAGGGCTTCATTCTACCATCTGTGAACTATGACGGCCTGACTGGTTGACTGCCAGGTAGATGGAGTTTGTCATCTTGAGGCCGCCTTCCCTGTGGCTTGTCGTCGGAACTATGCCATTGCCGAAGCCCTCCAACAGCGTCAATCCAAAGGCGCATCTCACACAGCTAGCTGTCTGCTTTGGGTAGCTGTTCGTTGGGCCTCTTTCACATCCTGGGCCCCTGCACTTCATCTCAAATTTGGGTTGCGCCAAGGACAATGCAAGGGGCGGCGGCGAGCAGAGATGGCCAACAGCCAACAGCCACACCCGCCGGGACGAGCTGCACCCGAAAATAGATTCCTTCTGTCCAACATCATTCTGCAATGCTATCTTACCTAGTTCATATGGCTGACACTACTATGATCATGAAGTTTATTAAATGAGAGCGACTCCCGGTGATAATGTAGCTATTAGTTGTAGTTCGTATCATAGACATCTCCCTCAAGCTTCATTCTCCGTCCAATCTTAATTTCTCAGATTCAAATAATTGTAATGTCATTGTTACGACCTTCCAGCCTCGCCCTCGGGCTGGCGTGTCTTTCATCTCTTGCAGCTGCTGCCCATATCGAAGTCACTGTTGGCAAAGACAGCAAATTAGAATTTAATCCACCAAGTATTAAGGCAGAGATTGGCGACACCATAACATACAAGTTCTTCTCCAAGGTAATTCCCCGAGTTTCGGCACTACATGCAAAAGACATACTAATCAGGAGTTTCTCAGAACCACGCCGTTGCTCAGTCGACATTCGCCGACCCCTGTCAACTACAGGAAAACGGCATATTTTCTGGCTTCACTCCTAATGCGTCTCCGGATACCGCCGCCCCCACAGACTTCACCATTACTGTCAACGACACGAAACCCTTGTGGTTCTACTGGTAAGCTCGCACAATAACTTTATAGGACAGTCAGAATTAATCGCTAACATGTATCAGCCCCCAAACAAATGGGAACCACTGTCAAAGTGGCATGGTTCATGCTGTCAACCCGTACGTCAACTCAAGACTGATGAAAAGGCTTTTCAACTAAAATTGGGCAGTCCGGAAACGGGAAATACATTTGATGCCTACAAGGCCAAGGCGCAACAAGCTGCGACCCCAAGCACACCGCCCGTCGGTACTCTTCCCGTCGGTGGACTGCGAAAACTCCATATCGATGTTGGCTTCAATGGCCAACTGATGTTCAACCCCAACAACGTCACCGAGCTTGTCGGCACTGTTGTTGAATTCAGCTACAACCCAGCTGTGCGTGCATCAGCTTCATCGACATCGCTTATGAAATAAACTAACAGGCAATACAGAATCACTCCATCGTTCAATCATCCTTCGACAAGCCATGCCAGCCCATCGAGCGAGACGGCGGTGGTTTCGTGGCCCCTTTTGTGCCTACGAAACAGGCCCCATCCGGCGTAACCTTTGAAGTAACGCTCACGAATCCAGACCCAATCTGGTTCTACTGCGCGCAAACGACGAAATCGCACTGCCAGGTTAGTTCTCCGGAGCCGTTTATTTCCATGCTCACGCAGGTTTCGAGCGTCATTGCTCCTGCATGATCCCGAAATATGAGTAGAATACCTTCCTTATATGACAATTACTAACGTCAGCGTGTGTAATATAGTCAGGCATGTTGGGATCAATCAACGCTGCGACCGAGGGCGACAAGACATTCCAAGCCTTCAAGGACCTCGCGGCGACGGCGCCTCCCAGCACAATCGGCCCGGAAACGCCGCTCGTGGGCGCTCTGAAGCTCAACGGGACTTTCATCGCCAACGTTGGGGGTAACGTCCTCGACATCACAACGCTAGACCCGGCGCTCGGCGGCCAGATCCCCCAGCCTGGCATGAACTACCCGCCTTACATCGGCGGCATGGCCGGCGGGAACCAGCCCGCCAACTACAATTGGGGTGATAACATCACAGACGAGGCGGTCGCCGTCTTGCGTGCGCTGCAATACATCGATAACTTCATCGTGGCGCTCCTCCTCGAAGGATTCAACCTCCTCAGCCAAGGGCAATGGAGCGAGGCGTACCCGAACTCAATCAAACAGACCATCGGCTCGCTCGTCGCGCAAAGCCTGATCCACCGGCGCACGTACACGGACACGCTACAGCACTTCGGAAAGGACGTCGTCCCCGTGTGCGACAAATACGACCTCGCGACCGCGCTCACGGACGTCGACACCTGGCTCGGCACCGTGCTGACGGGCCTGCATCTCTCCATCGGCGCGACGCTCGACGCTCTGAGCGCCGTGGGCGCAAGTGATCCGTGGGCCACGCCCGCCCTGGCCACGGGGATCGGGTCGCAGGCGCGCATGAGCGCCCTCGTGAATCTGATGCAGAACCATGTAGCCGCGGCCGCACCGCGCGAGGTCCTCCTGCCAACTTCCCTAGCGACATCGTACGTCGCCGCGCACTACGCGACGGACTCGAGCTGCGCGCCCCCTTCGGCCGACGGGAAAGCGAAGGCGATCGCAAAACTAGTCATCAAGGATAAGACGCTGCAGCCCGACACGAACCGCGTCAAGGAGATCACGGTGGAGATCCCCGAGGACAAGAAGGGCGACGGGCTCTTCATCGCGTGGTTGGGGCCCTGGGGCGGACTGAAGTATACCTCTGTCGACGGGATCTCGGGCAAGGCTGCTGTGCCGGACTCGTTGTCCGGACACGTCTGGGCCGTCATGACGAGCAAGAGCGACGTCGCTGCTGCTGATATCGATACTGTGGCTGTTGCTGGGCCCGAGATCATGTGGGTTTCGCAGCAGTGGTCTGTGACGGATTTGTAGAGGAGAAAGATGGTGCTGGAGAGAAGGCGTAGGATTTGGGGAAAGGGGGTAGTCCGATGAAGCGGCCTTTACTTCCTGTTGCTGTTATGGATAATATTTAGAGAGATTGCATCGCGGATCATGGTTGCAGGCAAGATTTCTCGGCGTATATAAAGTGAGAGCGGATAAGGCGTGCAGGCGTTGGCTGGCTTTTTGAAGCTTTCATGTCACATTTGGAAATGGTACCTAGGAGAGGCGATTTAAACTCGATAGACGCCATGACTGATGAAATAATCTACATTGTTATTTTCAAGTTCTTGAACCTAATTGAGAGCTGTGTATTATTAAGTTACAGGACCCTGATGTTTAACCTTTGGTTTACAAGACGAAATAAAATAACCTCCACCGTAAAGCCTGCGTACGATACCAGGTCTAACTCGCAGAACCAATGCAGTAGACGCAAGACTTATACCATCAACGAAAAAGGAAGGATCATGCCAATCATATTTATCCATTTCATTTTAGTTTCACCTTCCTAAGTAACTTATAAGCGCCTAATAGATTATATAATCAGATCCAAAGCCTCCCCCGCAGAGCAAAAAGATGTATGCAATCAGTCTACAATGCACAACATTTACAAATATAGCGAAAGAACAATCCTAGTATTCTGCACCATTCGTATACGCAGCCTCCCTCTTCATCCTCAACCACTTCGCCTTCAAGCCAACATACCCAACCAAGCAGATACCAACGGCCAAACCAAGTGAGAGCAGGATCAGGTTCACGGGGATGGGGTTCCCATTGAATGTCTCATGGAATAGGTAATCAAGCCCGCTCTGGCTGAAGTTGAGAAGGCCCGCGAGGCAGATGATAGTGCCGTACACCGTGCCAAATGTCTGGAACCCAAACACCTTGGCGCTGTAATCGCTGACCGCTGTATAGTAGAAAGGACGGTACAGGACGAAGAGGCAGATGTTTGCGTAGGCTGCCCATTCGAATGGCAGCACACCAAGGATTCCGATGCTCGTGGCAACCGTGACAAGGGTTGTTAACACGGTCACTGTGCTAGTGTTGTCGAGGACGACGCCGATGAATGGGATCGAGATGATGCCGCCTAGCGGCAAAGCGAGGTCAAAGAAGTTGTTAATCTGAGTGGCTTTCTCCGTAGATCCCAGTATAGCACTGTATTGTACCCGGATTGTCGCCACGAAGTAGTTGATTCGCGTCATCTGTAAGACAGTGAAGAGACAGATGAGTATAAACCAGGGTGAACGGATCTGCTCAAGCGCTGTATGGTTATGCATCACGCCCCAGACTCCGCTCAGATTGTTTGTCACCTCTTCTCGTTGGGCCTGTTTATCGGCTGTCTCTGTTCCAAGCAATTCTTCGATCTCGTGGGCAATATTCTCGTTGTGTTCTCGCTGCTCCTGACGTAGGAGTGCCGTTTCCTCATCGACTTGGTCGTCGTTTTCGATGGCGCTGGAATTGAGAGGGTCGTTCAAACCTGGTGTTTCATAGTCTACAATCATCTCCCCCACCGTCTTATACGACTGTCGTGGAAGGATGGTTAGTTGCATAATAATGATAACTACGGGCACAGCCAGATAGGCGATGAAGAACTTCGAGAGGCCGAAAGCCCCATTTGTTTTCTCGAATATGATACGATAAAGAAGAAACAGCGCACTAGAAGCGTCAAACGCTCCCGTGAGTAACGCTAATATCAGGCCAGAGTTTTGAGGGAAAGCATTCGAGAGCTGGAACGACGAGATATAAGTGAATGGCCCACCAAGGGCCAGGAACAAATACCCTGGAAGAAGAGCGTCAAATGACGCTTTCTCGGCGGAAGCCATGAAACCAGCGCCGACTACTAGGAAAATAGCACCAATCAAGCCACACGCCCGGGGCCCGTAGTGGTCGAGAATAGCACCGACGGGAAGGGCCGCGACATTCGTAGCCACGGCGGCAACAGTGAACATAAAATTCAGCCGAATCTCCACACACATGTCATTGCCCTCGCAGATATCTTGATAGGCCCCCGTCTGCTTCAGCACAGGCTTTATAGCGGCATACCCAAAGACGACACCAGCGGCGAAGAAGCAATATATCACTGCACATACAATTTGGACTGCTTACAGGTTAGTCGCCACTCCTGTATGGATGAATGTGTGCCAGGCGGGCAGAACTCACGGATTCGCTTCCACCGGGGCACCTCGAAGGCTCCGATAGTCTGGGCAGGCCGATCTATTTCTCGAGCGATGACTGGATCCCATGACTCCGGCAGCGGGTTGAAACTGAGTCTGCGTGGTCTCATCGAAGGAGCTGTGGACGCAATAGAGCCCCTACGGGATCTCTCGCCCTCGGTAGGGACGCTGAGAAAGGTCTCAAGAGACCCAACACGCGGGAGAGACATTTGGTGGCAAATTCTTGTATGCTGGCGCTCTGGTGGCGTATATCTATTGAAAAGATATAATTATATTTTCTCTATTCGGAGAAAACACCGTCTGCACTTGGAGTTGATTCGAAACCAAAGACAGACGTGGCCAGCAAGATGAAGCTTGCCAGCTGAGCAGATCCGCCCGCTATATGCCGTGGCCAGCAGGGTGTTTGCCGTTATTGCTAGACGCAGAGCAGTCCGTCAATGCTAGGCGTATTCGATCAATCAAGGCCAAAAATCATGCGCCGGACGGTTGCTATTACGAACCGAGCTTCATCGAGGCACAAAAATTAGAAAGAAGTGGTCTAGATGAAAACAATGGGATGGTTGGTTGCTAAGTGGGTAATGACGGAATCGTTCGCATGAGGGGCTCCATTCAATCCCTACCTGGCTCGCCTGGATAGGTATCAAGCGGCAACATGCTACTAACCTAGGTTATAATAGTCGGAGAGCTCTGATAATCGACTTCGAATGGAGTAACTAGATCACTGCCAAGTCGAAATACTTTCTACCTACCCGGTGCCCTACACATGGGAGGCTGGGTTGGCCGTCCGATCGGAACAATGAGTTCGTACGGAGACATTACGATTATGTAAAAGCGCGCACATGACATTGTCTGATTCGATTGGGGGGTTTGCCTACAGTATGTACGAAGTAGTGAGGAGACGGCTACCTAATTCCACTCCGATGCATTCGAAGATGAACATCCTGTAGATAGGCCCGGTCTTTTCAGCACCTAGGCACGGTAGTAGTAATGAGGCTACCAATGCTAGGCATGTACGTACGTGGGTTGGTCTTCAGCTCTTGTAGCAATCTCGTCGAACCCCTCATCGGGCCGCTGTCCAGGTGCTGAATTGGGCGGGCACAGCACACATCTCGTACGTAGAGAATACCTACCGATACGAGGAGCATGAAGTCAATTGATCGGTTAGAGTTGGCGGCAAATGCGTGTGGCTGGCTTGCAGACAGGTGCAGTTGTCATCAGTCACTTTACTTAGACGTCCGGGGCATGTTCGGCCACAGGACCGGACGTGCGTTAATGCAAGTACAAGCTGCGGCGCCCGGTCGGGCAATCATAACTTGGAAGCGCGTTGTATTGCCTACTTACCCATAGTACCTGGGTACATACTGTGAGGTTACCTACTGCGTGCGTAACCTTCTTTTAGCCGATGCCGTGATATTATCTCATACATTCTATCATTGATCTACACCTTTTTTGAACAATCATATCGGCTTCATACCTAGGTAGATACCTAGGGTAAATGGGAAGGAGGCAGATAAAGATGTCCAAGCACTCAGTTCAACGGCGATTCTGCGAATGAGCTAGTAAAAGCATCAGTACCTACAGGCAGCTACCCCACCAATAAGACCCGTTACTGACGACGGAATAAACATCGGCAAGTCAGACTGTTTCAGCAAGATAACTAGGTTCATATATAGACGGTTATCATGGAACACACATTACACTACCAACATCTCCTCAACCGTGGTTCCAAATATGCACGACCGGAATATACACAATAACAATTAAATTCGATATACCATCATCATAAGCCGACCCGTAAAGTATCGTCGTGGCAGGCTACATGTGGCAAGGAGGTATCCATTAGAAAGCAAGACAAAATGGCAGCAAGAGTCAGAAGCATAGAGGTCCCAATAAATAAATACCCTTAGTCGCTCAAAGTAATTGTAACCTGTCCGCCACTCGGGATGCCGGTCTAAGAAAGGTTAGCTATAACGCCTCGCTTGTTTCGAATAGTGGCCAAAACTTACAGTGCAGCCGGTACTGCTACCAGCAAATCCTGAATCAACATGATAATAGCAATCACTTGTGATATCACCAGAGATGTCAATATTGAAGTCCAACTTGGCTTTGGAAACTGCGCTGTTGGGGAAGATAGAGAGATAGGTGATGCCATCAGACGACTGGCCAACACCGATGTTAATGGGGGCCCAGTTACCACATCCCTCAGGGTCTTCGTCGCAGACCCATACACAGCCCTTATCAGCGCTGACTCCCTTTTTGTTGACATAGTACTGCAGAGTTGTTGCCTTGCCCTGCCAGACGTAGTAGTTGTTGGATGCAACGTTAGCGAGCTCGAACGAGCTGCCAGGTGTAGAATCAATCGGGATGACCATGTTCTCTGTGCCAGGATAGTCGGTGCGGCACACCGAAGTTCCAGAACTCATTTTATTCTTTATGGTAATACCCGGAATACCCTTCTCACACAACTTCTTGGAAACGTCGCCGCGGGTCAGCTCCAATTTGCCCTGGTCGTTACAGTAAAGACCACCAATGGATTGGCCGGTGTTGCCCTGAGAAGAGGGCCACTGTGATTTGATGTAGCCGGGTGGGCAAGCATATGAGTAGAAGCCCTTCTGGCCAGCGGGCTTACCAATGCCGGTTTCGATGAAGCTAATAGCAAGATCCTTCAAACTGAAGTTGGGCGTGTATTGAAGTCCACTCCACCCACCCAGTCCGAGGTAGTCGAGAGCAAGCGCACCATAGTCGGAAGGGAAGGTGGTGCAGTCAACTTGTCCGTCGGGAAAGTCAGCATCGATACCCTTAGCACCGTTGCTCACAGGGTATGTGGTGGACTTAGTTGGCTCGGGCTCAGGAGTCGACGTGCTTGTTGGTTCAGTGGTGGTTGAGGGCGTTGGAGTAGGCGTCGAAGTGGACGAAGAGCTAGTGACCTTCTCAATGAAGACGCCATCCTCCTTAGATGATGTGCTAGTGACGACTGGCGCAGGGGGAGGAGTGAAGGTGGGTGTCGTCTCGCCAACGACGACGTATAATCCCTTATCCAAACCAGCGTGGGCCTCCTCAGGGCTGACCGATTTATCACCGAGCATGTACTGGGTTATAGTAGCAGGGACATAAGTGGTCACGACTTCGCGCTCCTCCAGAGGCGAGTTGTCCCGCTTGTGGTGATGAGCGGGATGACCATGCCGGTGAGGTTGAGCAACGGCGACAGAGCCGAACGATGCCGCAATGGCGAGGTTCAAAATGGTTGCCTTCATATTTGTCGCAACGGATATAATCGCGTGTAACTGGTTTTGGATGTAAAAGTATTCAAGTGAGCAATAGTAGGAGCGAGTCGTCTCTAGTGTACCCAAGGTTATTGTTAGCCTCGCATAACAACAACGAAGGCAAAAGGAGTTGGCCCCCTGTATTAGGCCCAAGCGCAAAAGCTCAAAGGGGGCGGTGAACATGCAATCTCGTTCATAATAAAGTAGCCCGCTAGCCTTTCCACTGCCAGCAGAAACCAAAGCCTTTGTAATATAATATCCCTTTGACCTGATGAGAATTCCGCTTACCAGCACTGGACGTATCTTGCTTTCACAGCTCTCAAGATTGATTGAATCGGGTCGTCAGTCAGTCAGTCAATCGGGACTGGGGTGGAGACGGGTTCGCGCTCGCGTTGTACTGAAATGAACGTGTTCCCTATTCCAAAAGAATGTAGTTGAGAGCTGTTAGACTCTCAGTTGGGTGGAATGGCGACGCAAAAAGATGGTCGGAAGGGAGGAAAGGTTTAAAGCGAACGTGGTGAGGGAGTGAGGGAAAAGAGAGCGAGCATGTCGAGAGAAGCTAAGGAAAGCCTAAAAGAACCTGGGAGAGGAGCCAGCACAGTACCTAACCTACATGTAGGTACATTATGGCGGCCCTGGGCAGCGCGCAGCCGTAACGACGACGACGGCACCTTCCCTCCGCCAAAGTCCCCAGTCCCACGGCCCAGGCAGTACCCAGCTCGCCCAGGTTTCTGTAGTGTGTAGTGTAGGTAAGTAAGTAAGTACATGTAGGTACACGTACTGCATGGAGCGGCAAAGGAAATGAATGTGGGTCGCATGCAGCACCGCCAACCGCGATCTTGCGTCGGGGCAGAGACCAATAGATTCAGCGGACGTGGTATTGGTACCGTTCTAAAAGATCTAAAAAGGGGCAGAGTGTCGGTTTCAAGTGGGTCATCCCTACGTACCGGGCAGAAAGCGGATTAGTGTCTCCCGTGTCACCTACACTACTGCAGGTACCGGCCAAGTTTATGTAATAAAGGGCATTGGGGTGCGAAATGTTAAATTCATGCCTCGCATCGACATAGCAATATCTACCAAATACCTACCTACTGTACGGAGTATACATAGTTAAATATTTCACATTCACCCAGAAAGGGTAAATAGCAAGCATACTTACGGGTGTTTATAATACGTACCTACATACTGTAATGGGCTGTTGTCTAAAACAAGCCCTGGGCTTGCGTAGGAAGGAACTTACTACATTCTGAAAAGGCAGAGTTCTAGCTGGGCTAGGTATTGTACACTGCCTAACTACATACATAGTATGTACCTACGTCGAAGAAGTTGAAAGTATAGGTACCTACTTATTATGTACTACAAACCCCACATGATTAAGTACAGTAAAGATAGCGACGCGGCAAAAGGGGCTTGGCAAGAAGTTCACAGCCGCCATAGGCTTCACCTGAGACGATACGATTAATTGCTGCAATTTCGGCATTTCTTAAAGCGCTGCCTTCCATGTCGCCCCTTTTGTGATTTATTCGTTCTCGTCTGCTGCAGACCATTTCATGAGGTGGTCTCAACCGTTCACGTGTTCCTCTACCGCTCTCTTTATAACGCAGGGCTCGGAACCTACATGCGTAGGTAGGTACCTAGATATGTAAGTATAATTGGAATCAAGCTTAACCTCTCCATTGGTGGTAGCAATTTTTTTCAAAGCTCCCCAGCACACGCGCAACGTTGTAGAAAAGTTATCAGCATCGATCATACAACACATGCTTGCACATACCTACCTTCTAGGTATGTATGATCATCGATAGCTAATCAGTCGGGAGATCATCCATTTAGTGCGTGTAGCTACGATTTGCCAAGAAGCAAATGGACTAAATTATATTTTTGGTCAACCTAGCTGTAATCTAACGATTCTAGGCAATGGATATTGAGTCACTGCTCGAACATAAACCATCATTTTCGGAGACTGTGTGTAGGGTTGCTCAATCCGATTAGTGGATGAGATATCTAGGTGGCTGAAAGAGGTTGTCAACGATCTTCACCGCTGGTGTGTGGGCGAGACTGAGCCGCGATGTAAACAAAAGTGAAGACATGGTTTACTTAATAGGGCAGGATTCATATTGCACATAGAGTAGGTAGGCTGATTTATCTTGCGATATTTGTACACTATATATAGACACGAGGAATACAGCATGTAGTGCAGGGAGAATACACAGCAATAAATGCGATTATGCCGTAGGCTCGACCGGGAATCTAGACTCCCCTTGCGTCATCCGAATATCTCCGGCCGGAATCCGGGCATGTAGTTTTCTGATCTCCATTCCATTCAGCTTTAAACACGAGGGGTCCCGCCAATCCCTCAGCGCACATTGCTGCTGCATCAGCTAACCCCTTTGACAGAAGGATTACACATAATCATTCGACATTGTGGAATTTCTATGACAGCTTATTTATCATGGCAATTACTTACTTAGAACGCAGCGGACCTAACATATCCCCATTACGTCTTGGCAAGGATGAGATTCTGGCATGAGATTCCGAGAAGATCTAGTGCGCAAACACCTAGTACTTCTAAGGCGAATTTGGGCCGAGCTCGGAGGTGTTAGATAGTACCAGATCCTCAAGGCTTTCAGGGCAATTGCATACACCTAGTGCAGTGTTATATAAAGTCGCGGAACGTGCAGCATCTAAGTAAGGCAGATTTCTTTTCAATCACCGAGTCTCGGTAACTACTACATGCTTTGGCCTGCAGGACTTGGGACAAAAATTGAGTTTTTGCTATCGAGCCTATCTTCTAGGACTCACCCTTCATGTTTATTCAAGATATACTTAGACGAGTTGTAGGCGAGATAAACCTGCAGGTTAGGCTGATTACACAGTAAATTCACCCATCCTACAGCTGTTGAATGTCCTGGGTTTGAATACGAGCCCCTTAGTTAGCTGGCCTTATACAGCAAGTGCATGAGCGAATACGGTACTAGATAGGGGTGGTTAACCGTTATCCGCCCGAGAGCTTATAGAAGCTCATCGCCTACACCTCGTCTTCACTTTGCTTAAAACCTTTCCAAGTAGGGTTTTTGCCTTCATGGGCTAGCGGTGGTGATACAGTCTCCCAACTAACATAGGGTTCTCTCCTTCTATGTATACATATGAAGAAAGTTGAAGCTGTCATCACTGATCACGCTATTGAAATGTTCCATGTGCATGAAATACCCACATTTCTAACAGCCGAAAAACATGCAACTTGTCATCGCATAACTATCGCCCAACGCGAAGGATACGGGAATGTGGAATACGCCACGGCGCGTGAGTACTTCTTGAAGGCGATAACAATGTCGAGTATAGTGAGTGTAAGCAATACCAATAGTCTGCATTCTCGTTTCTTTTCTATTGTTACAGCTATGCCAAACTCTTCCTACCTTTGATGAGGAAAGATACTGCAAAGTCTGCGGGGAGCTCGCACAGCAAGACCACGGGTTTGTTGTTAAGGTGGTTGTGGAATCAAAGAAGTGTCAAGAAAGACAAGTTTACTTTATTCTATGGCATAAGGGAAGCGACTTCGGCGCAATTAATCAATCTGATTTCTAGTGGAAAAGTGATCGCATGTATGCAATCCTTCAGCATATTCCCTTGCCTCCTCAAGAAATCACAGCTCCATTCTTATCAACAATCACACATAATTGTTACTTTGAGGTGTTTTTGTATTGATAATAGAATAGTTTGCATGCGCTCTCATGATTGATAGAAGTATCTTAACTCATTGATGCAAGTGATCGTGATCCCGTAGCTTCGGTGTTGCAGACATGCCAACTCGCAAAATCTGGCTGACACCAAGAAACAGAAACAGACAGTATGCATGATGCTCTCTGTATCGGTACATTAGACGCGTGAGCTGTTATGATACAGCAGGAATTGTCGGAAACAGATAAGAAATACTAATATGGAGAATAGTCATGTCTAGAATAATCCGAAGGAGAAGGACAAAAGACGTGCGAAACGTAGTACCATATAGGAAAGGGTATATAGTATTAACCACTACATCTTTGAAAGTACTACATGATATTTGTTATTACACGAAAGTTTCGAGACTCTTTGTTGTAGCCCCTGAAAAAATCGTGACGGACAGGGAGCCATGGCAGTAGATAGATATTGAAATTCAAGCCAGACTCCTCAGACTGATGCTTAGGCATATCTCTGGATAGCTATTAGTTTATAAATAATCACGATAGAAAATAAGTATAGACCGACAAGAAGCACTATCAGATGAACAACAGAATCTTTCAAGTTGCGAGGCTCATTACTATTCTATTTGTGTAGCTAAGTCTTTAGGAGCGAGTGAAATCATCTTCTCGCCTCATACTAGGCCTCCCCCGATAATGCATAACAATGTACCATTTGGGGACATAGTAATGAAAGATAGCAAGTTCGCAGAGCCACATCGATGACGGTATATAGAAATGTTACTTCTTTCCAGCAATCAGTATATGAGGCTTGTACCACAGTGTGGTGTGTTGGGATACTAGTCTTGAACGGCTGTAATATACTTGCTGTTAATGGATACCAGCTCAGACTCAACAACGCGGTTAGTGTTGATACTGAGAGCTGTTGTTGGCTCACGCGTGATAGATCAGTCGCTACTGGAATGATGTCAAGGATTTGCGGCGATTCAAGCAATACATGTAACATATTCGCACAGGTAGTCCTGTCTGAAGTATGGAATGAGGGCACACAGCGATCCAATCATCTACTTGGCACCAGTGTTGTATATATAGGTGATTAATTGAAATACTATTGCTCCCCGGTGTCATGAGGATGTGTTCATCAATCTTCGTACTCTCTTCGGGTAGCAGAGTCTGGCAGAGCTCTGACAGACAGACTACTGAATACTGTCATGACGTCTTCTCTTGGGGTGGCCTCGTAGGCTCTCGGCCTGCGCCACGCATTCCCAATTTGGAACAGTCTTATGGGCTGAAGGTCCATTTTAGGCCATGATACAACACACCTTACTCTTTCGCGATAAGTGTTGCCCGCATTGTCGAGATCGAATCGCGTAGTGTAGATCAGATTGGAGCGCATATTTGTATCCTATCAGATTGATCGATGTGCTCAGAGGCCTATCCCACCTTGTGAACGATACCAACCAGCCATTGGATGTTATTCTGGACGAGTGGCCAATAACAAGTCTTGGCCCTCTTCCCTGGTCACATATGCCGAGCTTAGTCGGCGACCTCATAGGACTCCCTGCCCCTCCATGTAAACTGCAACTAGAGGTAGCAGTCGAGACATCCATCCCACCAAGATGACAACAACTCAACACTTTCATCCAGACGGTAGAGAAAGATCCATCCGTGTTGCCACAGTATGTGCTGTATTTTTTTTGGTGTGGCAACAAAGAAAGGTAAAGTGGCTACGCCGAGAGCCTTGAGCGCTCAGCGCAGCTACCTAGGTATTTATTCATTTGATATTGGCGCCCTTTGCTTGCTGATGCGATGTACAGTATCAATACTTACAAGTACCCGACATTAGACACTGTATGTATCCTCTGAGGTCTTTTAATGTTCGCTTTGGACTCTCACTCTCTATTGTTACCTATGATAGTTTGTTATCATCGCCTATGTTATTTAATGGTTATTCAGTACTTACTTACCTACGTACTTAAGTATCTTGGTAGTATCCTGGCCTTATCTAGTTATAGCACTGGTAATAGTATTCCGATTAAGTCCTTACTTTTTATATGGAGCTAACTTTAGAGACCCTAGATTAGGTGTAGGTAGGTACCCTGCTCCTGCCCTTGATATATATACCTATTACTTGAAAATGTTTAGGACTTGATAATCAAATAAGAGCCACCTTTCTTTCGGCATGCTACTGCTGTTTATATAAATGTAGATATATAGTGGTATACCTGCTATTTGTAAACCTGCCTCTATGTACACCAATGCTGTATGTACTCCCTGAGGTGCCAGCAGATGTAAGTTGCAAGTAGGTAAATAAGTACCTATGTATGTACTTAGGTACGAATAGTAGGTACCTAGTATGCTTTGGGGGGGCAGGTGGGAAAGTGAGGAAGGTGATACCTAGCCTGAGCATGTACTCTTGAAATTGGGGCAGTACCGCCAATACAGCAGATACCCATCTCAACGAGCCGAGCACACATATCCTCAAGTACCTGATATAGCAAGTACTAAAGAACTAGTAGGCATATACATACTTAAGTACCTACCTACCTACGACATAGTATGTACTTTGTAGGCAAGGCAAGGCACTGGCCGCAAGCGTGGACCCCACCGCCTGCTTTTGTGAGCACTAGCGCAAGAAGAAGTCGCCTGTTGCCTCCGCCTCTTTCCCTCTTTTGCGCGCCCACGCCTCAGCACTTTTTGCACCACGCCTCACCTGGGCAGCACTTCTTCCCTCCCATCTGCTCATCCACAACCCATTCATTGCACCAGCCTCCTTGACACCGAAAGCGCACTGCACCTCGTCTACAGCCTCGATTTCTCACCATTCTCACTTGCCAAATCATCCGTTGAATCTGTTGAATCTTCTAGCCGATTCTATTGTTCCGGATTGATTGATTAAACTCAAATTAAGCAACAGACACAGGGGAAAAACTTAGCCTGTTGCAACGCGACATCACTAATTCGCACCCATCACAACAACACACCATCGTGACAGCCACTGTCTCCAGCCACACATCCAGCCTTACCACCCCAGAGTTCGGCGATGCGTTGTTGCTGCGCGACAGCTTCATTTGCTTCGTCTGTTTGATAAACACAATAGCATTGTTGTGGCGAACCTCGGCCACCTCGTCCATTGACCGCTGGTCTCAACCATGTCGTCCGAAAAGGGCCCTGTCGCGACCGAAGCCCCGCCCTTCGCATCAACCGCGCCGCAAGCTCCCACTAATATATCGGCCCTCTCTGTTGAATCAATAGCCGAAGCTGCTCGCGCATCGCTGAAGCGGCATCGGGAAGCCACGCCTACTTCGCCATCGTCTGTGCTGCCACCGACGTTCAGTTCCGACTTGCCTCCGTCACCGAGTAAGGCTGCGCGAATCGCCGGCCTTTCATCGAGACACTCTCCCGCGCCACTGACGGCAGCTGCTGCTATCGAAGATGAGCAACACCGAGAAGATGAACAATACAGGCTTCAGGTCACTGGCCTAACCGACAATCCAGTTTACAGGGCCCAGACCGCATTGCTGTCAGCCAATGCGTTAGCCATGAGTCGACCCGGGGATGGCCCCCAGGAGCACCATCAACATCAGCCTACAAACACCCAACCAGGAGATATGCAGCCTGGAGACGCGCAGCCCGTTGGGTCTCCGCCTATTTCTGTTCCGGTACCCAATATGACAGAATCCGATAGCAAACTAGATGCCAGCCCCGACGCAAGCTCAGCAGCGATCGAAAGCTTAGCCGGTGCTGGCGCGCCTATCGATGCCAATACCGGGTCTATAGAGGGTGAAGTGCGCAATGGCCAGGATGGGTTTAATACCCAGCCACCAGCTCAGATGGATGATAAGAATATACAATCGCTGTCTTATCCTGGTATTCTGCCACCAAGTGCGAATATGCCCGCCCCACCATCTCGTGGAATGAGTATGCCCATGACTCCAAGTGTGCCAACAGCTCCACGGTCACCTAATTCCAAGAAACACAAGTGTCCTTATTGCGAAACTGAATTTACCCGCCATCACAATCTGAAGAGTCATCTTTTGACACACAGTCAAGAAAAACCATTCGTTTGTCAAACTTGTCAGATGCGCTTCCGTAGACTGCACGACTTAAAACGTCACTCAAAGCTCCACACTGGGGAAAAGCCGCACATCTGCCCCAAATGTGACCGGAAGTTTGCTCGCGGTGATGCCTTGGCTCGACACAGCAAAGGACCGGGCGGATGCGTTGGCCGACGAAGTAGCATGGGAAGCTATATGGGCGAAGAGGATCCAGATGGAGTAAGCCGCTTAGATGGCGATGACTCGACAATGGCTGGTGTCGTTTATGATGTATCCATGAACGAGGCTGACATGACGGAGGAAGAAAAGCGACGGCTGAGCAACTTACCAAGCATCAAAGCATCACACATTGAAGGTACTTATATCTCACTCAAATCTTCTCCTGCTCACTTACCAACATCCCTCACTTTAGGTGTTAGCGTTAACCAAGGGCAACTATTCCCTCCAGCCACAGATCGTGGCTCTGCTAGTTCTGCAGCTCACACACCCGGCACTAGCATTGGATCTATACCCTTAGGTGGCGGCAATGCTTCTATGTATGCACAGACGGGAATGACGGAAAGTCCTAAACCCTTAAGCCCTGGGCTCCAAGCTCAGGATTCCGCAAATTCAAATAGGCAGCGCTCTCCAAGCTTAACAACGCAGTTCCAGCAACAACATTTCGGCCGCAACCAATCTGACCGCCGCTCGCCACCAGGTTCGTATACTCACATGTTCAACCAAACACCATCATATACTGAACTCGATCCAGTATCAACATTTACAGCTGCCGATGCCGCTAGGTATGCTGCCACGGCTGCTTCAGTTGCCAGTGCACAGGCAGCCAGCGCTCAGGCAGGGGCTGGGAATTCTGCGCAACATCAAATTCCGCCAGCTCCTGGGACCGGGCACACGCGAACTCCTAGTGGAACCGGCCAGACTGGCAGTAGTGGTGACAGCACTACTAATAACCTATTTGCGACAGACCATGGAGTCTGGGCATACATTAGTAATCTTGAGGAACAATTTCGGCTGTTGAGTGAACGTGTGTCAGCGATGGAAGCCATCGAGAGGTCTCAAGATGACAAAATCTCCTATCTGACAACTGAAATGGCAACGTTGAGAGCTCAGGCTGATCTGAATAATACTACGAGTGAGAAGGCTAGTTAATGCCCAAACTTCCTCAGATTATTTAGATCAAACCAGCGGTAATACTTATTCACCGCATATTATACGATTATATGCCAAGTCGGATGAACAGGAAGAGAAGCAGACTGGCTATTGCCGGTCTTCGCTTCATCGATTAATTACCTTGTATGGATTCATGCTCATGTGGCGTTTTTGGTGTTGGTTGAGTCCCAACGAAAAGCCAGTGATATTTTGTCGATCGTTATCTGTGTAGATATCCTTGGGAGCCCATTTCCGCTTCCGCAGTGGGCGGTTATCTTGCGTTGCCTTGTTATATCAGTCGAGTTCCAGTGTCCGTGTACATTAAAAAGCGCAGATAGATCGCCTCAAGGCAGGACACGTTGACCGATTATTCTATCGCTTAACATAGTAGTAATACGAACACATCATCTACCATTACTCCCTTTCTAACACGTATATTATCGCACTTACCAAGGCTTGTGCTGATGCTAATAGCATGGCCTAGGGCTATTGGGCACACATTCCATGGTATTAGGCTCATCTATCACAATTTATCAAATGAGAGCTACCTAGAGCCCAATAATCAAATGGTTTCTCTATCTATGATGGGGATGTAGGACGACACCTGTTACAAACATGCAAAGGGCGAGGAGCAGCTGGTATCCCGAATTATTACACTTCAAGGGGTGTTTGCGTATGACTTTTCCGGCACTGTCTTGAACTTGTACGGATAGATGGTTGATTGCAGTTTCGTGTGACGTAACTAGTCAGTAATGGACAAACGAGAAGTTGCGGTGTTATTTCTATCCTCTCTTTCCTCGCTTATTCACAGCCTTAAACAGTCGATGAGAAATTGGCTTGAGGAACTTGTGTAACCTCTTTACTAACTCAGGCTGTCGTAATCCCCTGGTCTAGCTATGTACGTAATGTAAACCAAGCATGTCAAAGTGAAAGAAAATAAAGGTCTATATTTATGTATGTTTAGTGATACAGTTAGGTTAAGCTTAGTTTCTCAGCTGGCTCAGCCGCCTTCTCAGCTAGTTTCTTCGCTTTACGCTCCTCCTCGGCCGCGGCCCGTTTCCTGAAGTGCTCCGTGATGTGGTCGAGGTTCGGGGAATGGCCTGCGGGCACATTGTATGGTGAGCCGGAGAAGATAAGCCTATGATACGTGCGTTATGTCAGCGGCATTGGACTCCTTGCTGTAGCGAGTAGGTACATGTATTGCTTTCGAGCTATTTGCAGAGCCACTTGTAGTGTATAACCGGTAGTCCCTCAATGTGTCTAGAAAAGGAAAAAAAGTCATGGTGACATAATGTCTGGAGAGCGACTGTATCCAAGTGCAAGGGAAATTAACGGGCTGGCGTACTCAGGAGTCTTGAGATCCACGTGTGTGCTCCTGCCAGCATTCAGGAATAGGTGCTTGTCGTGGGCAGCTTGCTCGATCATATCCGTGCGCAACTTGTTGCGTTCCGCAAAATCCTTCTGCAAGTAGTCGAACTGTTGTAGCCATTTGCTAAAGCTAGAGGGCTCGCCGTCTGCGCCAGGGCGCGAGATCTGATAGGCGACGATCGAGGCTGGTAGGGCGCCTACAAATACGTAGAATGCGGTCTATTGAGGTAGTCGTTCAAGGTCAGCTCCATCTTCATTTTCAGCGCCAGCCTCAAGTCTCCATGCAACAGATACGCAGAGTACCGCATCTTTTAAGGGAGCGGGTATTTCGATATGGGGTGACTGAGAGACATACACCTAATCCCTCGTTAACCTTGGGCGCTTCATGGTGGCCGTGGCTCTCGGAAGCGTAAGATCGGGTTGTGCGGAGAGTCGTTGGGCGAGCACGGCGGGCCACGCCAACCGCTCTTGTTCGGAGGGCCTGCATCGCGGGATTGGGTGGTGTGTATTGCCAATTGGCTTCAACAATCTATGACGGATTGACCGAGCTTCATGAGCTTCAACACAAGACGGAGAGGGCTACCATTAGAGGTGGGTCAGTTTGAACCAATCATGACCGCTGCTATTCTTACAGTACTCGAACTCAGTACAGTGTATAATACTGTATCGACTGTATTCAATACTGTTAATATGTATATCGGGATAGGTACATTGATGAGTGTCACCAATCTCACTTAGATACTTGAAAATCTGTCCAACTCATAGTTTAGTTAATACCATATACGTCTCCTAATCAATTTACTCATGTATGATGAATATGGCCTATGAAATGCTGGTGCCTGGACTAAATTTGCACAACTGGCCCATAAGCATGCGAAGAGTTTCTTCGTTTTATGTGTCTTTTTAGTGCTTGCAAACTGTCCTTTTTCGGAGGTTATCGCCACCTATGTTTAAATTCCTACAACAGGTCATGGTCTATTCTCCTATCGCTTTTAGTTCTTACCTCCCAAGTTGACATCAGTTTCAATCAAGTAATACTCTCATATTTACACTAACTTAGCTAAAAGTCCGCCGTCGCCGGACTCTCAGTGGGAAACCCCCCCAATCTCATCACATCTATATTGAGCCTCCATCAGCCGATCGAGATAAAATCTCGCGATACCCGGCGCCACCACATCAGAATGACAACAACTCATCTGCTTAGCATAAAGCGTATTATTTTCCCATTAGTATTAGTGTTTACTGTGCTTTCTTATCTTACCTCTGCCACATTGTCTCCAGCAGCATCGCCTGCCGCCGAAACCGAGCTCATCTGTCACACGGACAATCCAGCGGAATGCTATCCAAAGCTTTTTTCAGCGACAGAAGAGTTTCAGGTCGTCCACGATGATCAGGGCTTACCACCGGGACTGCACGTGCAGCTTGATGTTCAGACAGGCCAGAAAAAAGCCAAACTTTACAACCCAAGCGAGGAAAACCCTGCCCTCGCAGGCCTGCCAGTCGACCAAGATGTGATCGTAGTAGATCCCGAACCGCGCCCGGATCAGGAGTCCAAGATTCCACCCGGTGCACCAGCTTACGAACCTTTAGGTAAGGTCAAGGCACCGCGAGAGAAGAATGAGGATTTCTCCCAAGCTCTTCAAATAGTGAAGGAAAGCTTTGGACGTCAACAACCTATCAAGAATAGCGTCCTCCACGAGGCGCTGCAACTACTCGATGATTTGTCTCACGATTTGTACTACGGTCTACAGATCGCAGAGGATGCGGAAGCCGTACAGTCACTGTTCTGCTTGCTGCTCAGAGGCGAGGAGGCTGAAGCACAGGAGGGGCCTTTCACAGAGCGAGCAGATTTCATGGCGTCCTCTGTGCTGTCTGCCACCATCGGAAACAACGCGCGAGCCCTTGCGACCATTGAAGGAGCCTGGGGCAGTATATCGAGCAAACATTGTGAAGCAAGCTCATACCCGATAAATCAAGAACTATTCATTCACTTAGCGCCTACAAGCGAACCAAACACCAAGCTCGAGTCCGAGGAGGCAGGAAACATCCGCCTCTATCTCCCAGTTGTCAGCGGACTGTTGAAGAGTCCTGAAATTCGAACCGAATTTCTAAATGACGACGGGATGCGTAGCCTCCTTCAGATTCTACTCCGAGAGGGTCCTGTGTGGGAGTCTAGGAGAGCGAAGGCTGCCCAAATTGTCTCGGACACTTTTCTTGATGAAGATTTTGGAGCAACACTAGGTCTTTGGCCTAGAAAACAGCAGACAGATGCTGCCAAATGCACCACGAAGGGGCCTCGGTCATTAGACGAGGAGTGTTGGGCATATCACTTAGACAAGATTAGTCAAGCAGCTGGGGCACCGGAGTGGAGTAAACAACTGCTTAGTCTTTTACAGCAAGCACAAATGCCAAGCTCGTCTTCAGAGGCGCCGCGAAAGCATACCGAGTTGTAGATAATTAGAAATAAGAAGCGACGTGCATCGCAATACGAGTAAGATCATATGTCCATTTACACGAGTCGTTTTATGGTGTAGCCAATACCGGGATAGATACTGAACAGCAGATACCTAGGTAGATTCGGACGCGCAACACGCCGGAGAAAGAGGGGCTGACGTTGCTACGGCTTTCACGGGTACCAAAAAGCCGAGCGTGTATAGATGGAAAGAACGTTAGCCGGCTAAGCGCGCTGTGCCATCATTCATATAGCTGGTCTTGTTACCCTCCTTTCTTCAAATATGAGTTGTTAGTAGCGAGGGATGGAGATATGTCAGCGACGCTTACGTTTGCATGTTTGAAGGTGACCCGAGGCCGCCATCCAGTTTGACCTGTCAATGTTGGGTGAACAGCTGACGCGGTTCCTCCCTACCAATATGTAGTACAAGCGACTGCTCGATCGGATTTCACAGCGTTTCTATGCATGCATGTTAATGCGCGCCTCGAAGAGGAGAGAGATAGCTGGAATTTATGTGATGCAGCTTGTTGATAAGTTCTCTAACCCAGCATATGCATACCTACCTAGCCAGGTAACCGACTACAACTGCGTGTCCGCCTAGCGATGCAAGTGCATGGATACGTGCCTAGAAGATAATAATATGAGGTAGTAAGGGGAGCATGGCATGCGAACGCTCATCAAGGCGAGTCTCTGTCGCGATATTTACTTTGGTACCTACTCCCTCGGCTCCCCAAAGCTGAACGCTGGACGCTGGACGCTGAACGCAAGGCACACCCGTGCCCGTGCTACCGACATACCTACATATTGCCCGCGGTGGGGTAGCGAGGTCGTCAGGGACCCGGGCTCGCCAGGGTCGCTTGCAGGGTTGCAGCCGCGGAGGGATGCGAGTTGCTGCATTGCTGTCCATTCAAGAACCTAGCTTGCCCGGTTGGTGGCTTGGCCTGAACCAATTCGCCAATGGGAGATGCAGAACGCTGTTGTCTGGCGGCTATATCGAACGCTTACTTGCCTCAACTAACTCGACGCAACCAGACAGAAGCTCGCTCTCAACCTCTCATCTCCATCGTCGCGCCAAAGTCTGCGAAGCCTTCCCTTGTTCGAAGGGAGCAGACGAATAACCATGGCTCGGCCACCACTTAGCGGCCGTCGTTGCGACGGGGTCCGATTTGCCTGTGGATCGAGCTACTGTAAGTAGTGGCATTTCCCGGTGCAGGTTCAAGGTGACGAGCACCTCGACTAGGGAATAGGTAGATTGGTAGGTACCGGTAATGTTTCGATAGATATGTCATTGTCACTGTCATTGTCTCGCCTCATTCACGGTTACATGTTGTGCGTACCTAAGTACTGTACAACCTGTACTTGCTCTAATAAAACTGCTGTAGCCCGCATCTCCCTCCACATGCACTTTTGCTTCCCATTGTCTTCCCATTGTCTTCCTAGCCGTCACCCTCTCTTCCCTTCCAAGAAACCAGGTACCCAGCTTAGATGTGTTTCTTCCATTGTCTTCCTTAAATTAGATCCTCTTTACAGTACGGCGCGGCCAGTGCCTCTTCCTTTCACCAGGACACAAGGGCCACTCTTATAATATCCCTTGTGACCGGCCGTCCTCAAAGCAAACACTCGAAAAGAACACTCTTCAAAACTGTAAACGCCGCTCTCTCGTTGCTAAGGGCGGCACACTCATTTCTCTTCGGCTCTTCCTTCGAGGGAACGCATGTTACCATTCCCCTACTAATTCACCACGTGCTAAAACACAAGCCGGTATCTTGAGTTTTAGCTTCTGTACATAATTTTATCAACTTTCTGCCTGTATTTTTACCATGGCTGCTGTTAACACTTACCCGAAGTCGACGAATCCTTTCCATACAATCTTCGATGACGCAACCTCCAAGGATGGTATGAAGGATGAGTGGGAAGATTGGGATGTCTCCAGTGATGATGATTCTCGCTCCCGTCCCAATGACCTTATCGACCTTTCCGACAACAACCCCGCGTATAAGACCCGAAAGTCGTATGCCAGGCCCACGACTAATCGCTTCACACAACATCGACCTGGCCAGCTGCATCGGGTTAAATCTAGGGCAAGGCAAAAGGCCCAGAATGCGAAGGCTGGTATCACACTCGTTACTGATATGTCGCAATTTCGGCAAGCTGGAGTCGGTGGCCCAGACGCCGCAAGCAAAAACAAATTCGCTTACACTCCTGCTCTTCAAGCACTGGAAGGCAAGCAGAGCTCACCTTCAATCGGTAGCTTCGCCTGGTTGAAGCGTAAACCTGGAAATGGGGGCACCAAGCGGTCGATGATGTTCGATGATCACTCAGCAGACCTATCTCCAAACGCTCGGCCCATTGTCATCGGAATCTCTGTTCCATCGGACGAGGCAGGAAGCCACCAGGTCAGCCCACAGACAGCCGTCGTTGAAACGCCGATGGAAATGCCATTCTCTCATGGAGCCGGTAAAAAGGCCCCAACGCCTCAACAGCTACGGTCCGTATGGTCTCCGGATACAGAAGATAGCGACTCCCCATATAGCACTAGACGCGCAGTCTCAAGCGTCTACTCACAATATACTGTGTTTGGGGGTCCTAAAGCGGCTTCCGATGCACCTCCTGTTCCAGCATTGCCCGCTACGGTAACATTCAGTCATCAACAACAGTATGATGAGGACAGCAGTGCTCCTTGTACCCCCTTCGAAGAGGATGACAGTCCCGTCGCTACCCGGAAATCGCAAAAATTAAAGGTGGCCACCACAAGCCCTGAGAGTGCTAGCAGTCGAGCGCACGGCTGGTGGGACCACATCACGACTCCTTTCACGCCACAAACCAATAATCCATTCAAGTCTCAACCGCAACAAACCGGCTCCAGTTCCACGTCAGCTCCCCAGGAATGGTGGAGTGGTCATGATGAGAAGAAGAGTGCTTCTCGGGCATCACATCTGACGATTATCACCCCAGCAAGTCAACGGGAAAGGGAAGCTACTACAATAGACGCCATCGCGCAAGTCCCCGTTAATAATACACACGAGCAGAGCTACTCTGAAAAGACACGCGCCTTATCGGAGGGAAACCATTCTCATGACGCTCCACCACCATACGAGTACACAAAAGCACACCCAGAGACCAAGGTCGCTGTCCCTCAGTTCTATATTAATCCCCAGCCTGTACCATCTCCTGGGCCCATAACGCCGTGTCTACCCGGGACAATGACTTCTCAAAGTGGTATCGGCCTCGCCGATATCCCTTTAACGCCATCAGGAGTGCGCCAATTACCTAGTGCAGTCCTCCCAGATCGTGTCGCTGGATCTTACAGAACTGGCGATCACTTTTATGAAGCGCGGGGTAAAGGTAACAAAATGGAACGACAACGTCGCCGTCACGAGAAAGAAGATGTTATGGCACGGAAGGTTGGAGGGTTCTGGAGGGGCCGCGGATGTATCCCAGAGGAAGGGTGCTTTGGGCGCGGTGGTCGTGAAGGCCGAAAGAGAAGGAGAGTGTGCTTGGGCATAATAGGTGGTGTAATTGCTGCCATCATTCTTATTATCGTCCTTGTAGTCGTTCTCACGCATAAAACAATGTCTACGGAAAAGGCACCTGGAGATCACCCTGCTCCCGCCGATTCCAGTGTTCCGGAGCCAACCGGTGTGCCTGCGCCTACGTATTTCCTGAACCTCACAGATTTCCCGCCGATGCCAACAGGTGTCTTGACAGTCACTAAGCCCAAGACAGCTATGGCTGTGTCGGGCTGCTTTACGGATGAAACACCTTCGACTGCCTGGTCTTGTGCAGTGCCGAAGGAGAATCAAGGGTCAGCTCCGATTGAGTTCATCTTCCAGATCCAGTATGACAACAATACGCGAGAGCTCTGGAAACTTGCAGACGGAGCCGGCAAACCTAAAAAGGGGACTGGCGTGACCAAAGAGAACACAATTGATAAGAGAGATTTCACGACTGACAATGGCTTCACACCTGACCCGGAGCCGCCTTCCTTGAATGAGATAAGGTTCCTGGGAAATACAACAGATAAGATTAAGTCCCCGAAAAAGGAGGGGGAACCTACACCATTTTTCATAAGCTTGCTAGAGTCTCTCGACGGCACCGTTGGCCCAAATATGCTCTCACGCCGACAAGGTAATGCCATTGGTGGATCCGGGGGCGACGGGACTGGCGAGTTCAACCTCACCGACATTCTCCCTGCGCCCGAACTGAACTCCGACGGCACGGGAGCGCCTGTACGCCTATTCCCTCTGCCTGTACAACAACCCCTCCGTCTCTTCGACCGCGACCTACCGACGGAGCACTATGGCTTCTATACATACTTTGACAAGAAGATCTACCTGGCGAATAGCAAGAAGCGGGACCCAGCAGATGAAAACGGCGGTGTGCCCATCGCGGATGCAAAGTCACTCGTGACATTTGCACAGACGAGGTTCCTAGTCAAGATATGGACGCGGATGGATAATGCAACGGAGCTGCTCAACTCAGATGATGCCTCATCGAAGGCCGATGTCAACGCCATGCCTTTCCCTATAACTGTCATCGAAGATATGCATGGAGGCGATCCGTCGTTGAAGAAAGACTTTTCGTACGGCGTGTTCAGCAATATGGAAATCAATCGCGCGGACGCAACCTTACTCGAAGCGAACATTGGCTTCCAGGGCACCCTTGTCAATGGCAGAGGAAGCAACGAGGATAGCTCCCTGGGAGGCTTCGACGGGGGTACCGGTGGGTGCAAGTGTGAGTGGAGGAACTTTGAAAGCGACCAAGGCTGAGACAGAGAGACGGAATATCTGTCTATTTCCCATTTCAGGAGAATGCGGCTGGCTCATCCTCGGGGCCTATGATTATAATCGGAATGACTCGTGACAAGCGAAATGAGTTCGGATAGTCTATAAGCAAGGGCAATACTCAGCCTTGAGTGGTCCTCCAGTCTCCTACGATTTTTCCCTATCTTTCTTTCTTTTCACTCTTGTTGATCTGGTTATCTTGACGGGGCGTTAAGGCTTCTTTTTTTTGGCATTTACATTTGCATGGCAGGATTGCGTAAAATAGGGATACCTACAACCGTAACTAGATAGCTTCGTTGAGAGCTAGATAAATGGCTATGCGAATTCGTTCTTAATATAAACAGAGGAAATCAGATTATATATACTCAATTGAATGTACTTTTATCAATTTCTTGATGGTTATGTGGGTAATATGAGCCAGACTATCACACGCTACCTCGGCGACCACCTTGTGGATCTAGATCCCGTAGAAACGGTGGCCGCCATTACTAGTCACTACTTCCGACAGTCGAGGACCATCTGCCTCGCTGTGGTCTTCGCTGGGAACGACATAGCTAATCAAGATATTCTTCGAAGAGTTCTGAAGTTTGATCCCAAGGGGGAGAGAACGCTTGGCAACTGCAGAATATTCAACCTAGCAACTAGAGGCGGAAACTCAATGGATGACAATCAGGGCGGAGGCGATTGGTAAGCATCTATAGAGATGAATAGCTCGATCTAATTTTTCACAGGCTTTCAAGACATGTTAACTAGGTAATCTTCATTACGATTATGGTAGCAGCCGCTACTGTGATTTGGATTGGGGGCTACATCTGGCGTCACAAATACTTAAAGAAGAATAATCGTCTACATGAGCTTGGAAAAGGCTTGCCTACAACCTAAACAAGAATTAGTACTGCCAGGGCTGCCGAATATCAGATCTGATTGTGCAATAAAGATAGTTTCAGATATCCTTCCATCTCCTACAGCGCAGGAGCACGTGGGCCACGGTCTGTCGCCCTTCTCCGCACTGGCACTCCGGGTCCAGGATGCCGGGGGCTTTCCTGTTGTACAGGAAGTCCCTTAGGCCGATCTTCTCTGTTTGTAACTGGGTTAGGATTGCTGTTTGTCTCTTACTTAAGCCCTTGAGGAGTTGGAGGACCTTTTTCGTTGGCTGTGGTATGTTCCCAAACGTCAAGTACCTTATCGCTTTCTAGGATCTGAGACTAACCTTTTTTCACCTCAGACCTAAAACCAGATAATATCATGGTAACCTTCGAAGACCCCTCTGTCATTGAAACTTACGGCCTTCTCTATGGAATTCTCGAAAGCGATGATGGTGCCTGCAATTTCTTGAGGACGCTCTAGTGTGAGATATATAAGTATCTGTGTCAATACCGGTTAGGCCACAGTCTGGTGGGGAGAAGTCAAATGTACGAATTGAAGACGAACTTCTATAGCTGTCTACCGCACATCTTGAGGCTCCTTGCTAACAATCTTGTCTTTTCATACATCTTGATTAGGATATTTTCCTGTCTTTCTTTCTTTGTACTAGTCTCATGACTGGGTGTTCCTTCCTCAGAATGGTAAGACGTCATGATGATACATGATAGGAAAGCTTGGGCTTGTACTTGTTGCCCCCCTTCCGTGAATGGCTCTTCGATCTGATTATTGTCCAATAGTTCTAGATCCCGGGTTATATGTTTCCTCTCATTAATTAGTAATCTCGTCAAACCTCCAGCCGCGGGTTAGTCTTGCCTGGGCGACGCCGTATCCTTACCGGTATTTTTCCAGCTGAGTGCGACACGCCGCCTCCGAAACCGTTCAGCGAGAAGTCTTCCTTCGCGTTTAAACCTTCTCCTATAATATCGCAATCGAATAGGCTGACCATCAACGCGATTGTCAATAGTATCTGGCGCTTTGCGAAGTGCCGACCAGGACATTGGCGAACCCCTCCTCCATAAGGGATCCATCCCCCCTCAACCTCCTTGGCCGAGAATGTTGGAGCATGGTCCTGTAATTTCGAACGGCCATCATCGGCACTTTTAGTTGGATGCCTGAGAAATCTTCCGACCCAAAATTGGTCGACAGGATGCTCGTTGTTCGTGCCGGTATTCCACACTTCGGAATCCATGTGTGCAACCGTCGTCGCTGTCACAATAACTTTCTTCCTGGGTATGACCCAATCTCTGATTCGCATATCGACTCTGTCGGGCATTCTGATAATATAGAAATGCATTCGGAGCCGAAGCGTCTCGGCGTAGGTCGCCTGAAGGACCGGTAAGCGAAATAGACGGTCAAAATCAAACTTAATGGGTGGTGCATCTTCACGTCCAGCATCGACTCTACAGGCATCAACCTCAGCTCTAACACTAGCCAAAAGCTCGGGGTCTCGATATATATCGAAGATAGCCCAAGAGGTAGCAGTAACAGAATTACGCGACCTACATGAAATATCAGTGAGAAATTCTTGTGCTACCTGATATAAGTTAGGTGCCATAGCTTACGCCCATATTGCGCCGAAGTCCTGAGATGCGATGGCCGCGTAGTCGAAGCCGTCCATTTCTAGAAACATTTTCTGCCGCTCCCTAAAGAAGCTGCAACCCCAGAACGGGTCGTCGCCATCGGCACCAATGGAAGATTCGGTGAAGTGATCTCGTGCGTGCTGCTGCCAAGTTTTCACGGCGTCCAATGCTCTCTTACGCTCCGCGTACGCCCTTGGAGCGAGAAACCAGGGGATACCTACAAACTGGATTAGCGAGCAAAGAAAACGTGGCCGAGACTCTCTCTTATTTATGTCATACCTTGGAGGTAAGTCTGCAAATTGCGATCGAAGTTCCAAAAGCTCTCAAGAAAATCCGGATTCAAAGCCAAAAGATACGGGCCGCAGAGGGCGTCGAGGATCGCTACGGTAGCCTCGTCCCCTACTACCTTCATCAAGTCGGGTTGATAAGTCCAGTCAGACCGAATGCGACTATGCATAGCGTGCAGTCGCTGCGTGATCTTGGCTGCGAACCTGTTCCAAAAGGATGGAAGCCCTTTTCCTTCCAGAAATCGGGTCAGAGAGTCGTGCACGCGGTAGTCAATCCGATTACGAACCTCCACGGTACTATCAGGGTGAGGCACAGGGTTGCCGCCTGAGTCATCCTTGTCAAAAAGCTTCAGCGCCCGGGCTGGCAAGCCAAATGCGTATCCAAGGGCAAATTTAACGAAGGGAATAGATGTGCATGCTGAAGAACCCTTGAAAAGCGCCTTTAAATTGTCCACTCCGCTGACAACATAGAACTCTTGGTTAAGTATCTTGACTCGCGTAGGTTGCTTGCTCTGGAAGAAATTACTACTGCAAGTCAACGAATGTCAGGACCAGGGCCACTCGGCTGCAAGCGTACTTCGGATTCAATACATATGCTCTCGGGTTGAACAGATATGCGATTGGAAGACTCCCCAAGAAAGGGAAGACGTAAGGGAACGTAGGTGGCGTGCCTTTCGCATGGGCGAGCTTGTCGTTCGCTAAAGGCTCATGATGACACTTTCTCGCATGCCACAGCCAGAGCGCGCCGAACAGAAGTAGCGCGAGTACCCCTAAATGAACTTCACCGTGCGGGGAAAAGAAATACGAAAGCATTCTTCGAATCAAACTGGATCATGTCATAGCACTCAGGTCTCAATAATGTCCCAGCAGTTTCTGGCAGAGAGCGGCTGTTGTTGTTGTTGTTATTGTTCCATTTTAACGTCGGTAGGGGCGCTAAACACCCGCGCTGACCTCCCTGGGGGTACTAGGACGTGGTAAGCTCCCTGCTATATATAGTAAATACCAGATCATACCTTCCGTAGGTTTAATATTCCATTATTCGTGGTTATTACGTTTTGATCCGTTAAGCTAAGGGTTTATCCCTTTTTCGGTTTTATTTAATACCCTCCCTTCGTAACCTTATAACGTTCGCTTAGGTGGTTAACCTCCTCCATTAGGGTTTATACGTCCCCTCTAGACCCCGTATTCATACGGTAAAACCCTATAGGGAAAACCTATAGGTAACTTAAACGGGTGCCAACTTCGCCTCCCGCCTCCGGCCGTAAAGTTCGTATATTATTTAGTTAATTATCTTGTGGCTATATGTCAGTTCAGTACCATACGTATCGCGGGCCAGTTATCAACTGTACCTAAGCCGGCGCTAAGGACTCGTCACCCACCCTACAGAGTAGTAGTGAGGTTCAGTTTAACGACTTGCCCAGGTGGATGGCAGAGAGCGGCGATTTGGTAATTGGAGTTCAAACAAGGACCCCGAAACCCCACTCGCGTACCAACAAGGGTGGTATCTAGCCCCCTACCCTACGACCAACATCAATATACCGGGTAACAACATGCGATGACACTTTGGGGTCCATGCAGTCCAGCTTACAAAAATGGAACAAGACGATAGTCAATTATATGCACTTGAGCTTGAGCTACACAAACATAGGCTGTACTCTCTGCTCAGCAATACATAATTACAAGATAACTTCTAGTTATATGCAGTATGCAGGCTGCCGTTAGTCCCTGAACGCCTGTTGGTTTAAGCCCCCAGCAGTGAACCGAACGAGCTATACAAAAATGTTGAAGTAGGTATTTAAACTTAAGAAAATCCGGGCAAGTCAAGCAAGCTGACTATCTTTCCAGACTCATCTCATACCATAGGCGCACCGCCTGCCGCTTTCCTTCTGTTACTCCAATCGGTAGAATCATGACGACTCCACTGAGCACCCAAGAAGCGATGAAACGCATCGGGTCATCTTCCCAGATTCATATGCATGCCTTTGAGGTTTGACTGGGCTTTCCTACTACGGATCACTATTCCAGAACATCACTAACATCTCCAATATACAGGTAGCTCTCGGGGTATTGACCGGCTTGGCGCTTCTGTGTTTTGTAGGGCGGATAGTCATTCGCTTGAAATATCAGAGGCAATTATGTCTAGACGATGCATTTCTGATCCTTGCAGCTGCCGCTTTAGTCACTGCGACGGGCATATTATATCATATTTGCTATTTCCTGTATCTGCACTCGGCCGCTTTGCTAGACCCTGAAGTCTTGCCTTATGTTGTCACTGATTTCAATCAGCTGCTCAACCTTCAGAAGAAAACATATCCATATCTTGCCCTGATATGGACAACGACCTATGCCGTCAAAGCCTGCTTTCTAGCTTTCATGCGCCCCTTGGTTTGGCATATTTCGCGGGGCGTGAATTGGTACTATTGGTTTACCGTCACCTTCTCATTAGTCTCTTGGGCATTTGTGGTTGCAGAGCCATTTATTATCTGCCCGTATTTTGGGTTAGACGCAAGTGAGTACCGCTATTCCTCTCATAACTTATATTGCAGCTAACATTATGTTTTTAGTGCAGTGTTTTAATTCTACTGTGAACAAGCAAAAGACGGTTGCGCTTACTGCACTTGTCACCGTTCTAGACATACTTTCCGATATAATGGGTAAATTTCATGTTCTCCCGAGTGCTGCCCTATGCTTATGTTGCATTAGTTGTAAGCCTTCCCATCATAGTCCTCAAGAACTCGCTCCTCAGCCGTTCCACCAAGTTTGGGCTGGCGATATTCCTCTGTCTCTCTATCTTCATGGCGATCCTTGCCATCGTCAGGATATCGGGATTCTATTACAATGGCCTCGAGGATGATATCTGGGAGTTTTTTTGGCAGCAAACTGAAGGCGCCGTGGCAGTCATGACGGCGTCACTAACAGCTTTTCGTACTCTATTCATCAAACGAAAAGGCGACCACAGGGCCGAGGCGCCCGAAGAAGTTCTGAACCCGAACAAATTCCGCAAATTTCTCGCGCAGTTCAAAGCGCTAGCTCAAGAGCAGCCAGAGGAGAAACCCACATCGACAAGCTCAACTTTTAAACTCCCCAAAGTACCATCCCCTATCCTGACGGGTCTACGAAGTTTTATTCACAAGAACAACCAAAATGGGGCACATTTACCCACGAATGCCACTATTGACTCGGCATTCGATGATTATCACATCACTCTCCAAAAGCAGACACCTTCTGCCACTAGTCACGGTCGCTCGAATGATTCAGCTAGATGGGTTTGAGCAATTTGCGCCGGAGCCGTCTCAATCTCTAATACGCTTGGCACGGAGAAGAAAAGCATCGGTTCTGGGCATAGGCATCATTATACTTTGCAATGAACATTTGCCGTCGCGCCTCTACTGCTTGTTAGGTGGTTGAATACAGCACCGTCTAAAACCTATCATTTTGCGCTTCTTTCCACCATGTACTCTAATACAAATATACGATGCGGCGATCTATTAGAGAAAAGGTAATAGCAAAAGACCAGAGAGAAAGGGGGCAGAGCCCCGGATTGGATTCCCAGGGATGATCTGACTAGTTGCGTAAATGTCGTTAACAAAACGTATGCTCATGGAGTTTTAATTGCGTTATAAGGTGAAGGCTTGGCTTGGCGCCTTGCTGAATACGGTGCAGGCCTATTACCCATCCTCCTGAGTTCGGGGAGTTGTCAGATTCATATAGAGCCATGAAAACTCAAGCCGCCTCTGCACAAAACGAAATTCTTCAATTTTTCTCAATCATAAACTTGGCATATTTATCCTCTTCATCTTTTGATTTCTCAGTAGATCTACCTATCTGCCTACCTACATAATCCTAGCGTTGGCCCTTGTCTATTTAGCTACGACGCCACAGGCACAATGTGGCTAATTCCGTCTACCTTCCAGTTATGATCATTTTCGAAGACGGAGATGCTCTTCATTTCTCGAACACTGAAGTAACAGAATAGTTGAATAAGAAAGAGTATTGTTACAATCGTCTTTTGCCACCTCAATAGACACATCTCCTAATCTCACCACCGTCCTCCCTTCCACCGGTCACCTGTTTTACTCCAGATTCGGATCTTTGATAGAGCCTGGTTTCGGTACTGAATTCGCCAAAACGCCACACTCGCCGCACTTCCTGTTCTCCTCAGAGGCCATGAAGGCCTCGATAGCGGCCTTGATCTGCGTGCCGAGGTCGGTGCAGTGGAACGCGGCCTCGTGGACGACGGCGCCGCACCCGTCCTCCTGGCAGTACCAGCGCATGCGGTCGATCGAATCAGCCGGCCTGCGCTGCTCGAGGACAACGCCTACCGTGTCGGCGAAGCGCACGGGGTTGTGCGGCGTGTTGCCCGGCAGCAGGAACATGTCGCCCTCGCGGATCACGACGTCTTTGAAGACGCCGTCGTCGACGACCTTTAGGAGCATGGCGCCCTTGTACTGGTAGAACCACTCGGGCGTCTGGTTGATGTGATAGTCTGTGCGAGCGTTGGGGCCGCCTACGATCTAGAAGGGAGGGTTTATGTTAGTGGGTTGTTATCTCTTCTGAGACGGCGCCTGGGGCCCGTGGGATTTGCTATGGACTCATCCTAAGCTGCTTCCTCATTATGGACACGTGGGATAAAAATGTATGAGTGGAAAACTTGAAAGGACGCACCATGACGGTGAAGCCTTCATTGTAAACGCAGTAGTTATTGACTGGCGGTTTCAAGAGATGTGAGTTCTCGGCCAGCCTAGCCAGGATTGAAAATTATTGTCAGTGGGTTGGTTGAAGTTGAGGGGTTATTGGCCTTAATGGTCAACTTACCATTTCGGGAGGTTAACTGGTACGGAGAGCATATTTGCTTGCTCAGATGAATTCTGTTTCTTTCAATAGCAGGCGAGAATCTCCGCTTGAATTATTGAAGTTATGAATGCTGATATTCTTGAGTGCTTCGTAAATATGCAGGTACTTTATTGTATGTTGTGAATACCGTGTGAGCTTGCTTATTACCCCTTGGCTTGGTAGTCCTCACGTCGACCGTGTGTGAGGTCTGCTGTTTTCGGCAAGAATAGAGGCTATTCGCAATCCTCAAGTCTTGCTACTCTAGTTTATAATCAATCGTACCTACCTACTTACAGTACACAGGAACACTCGGGATATGGACTTTGCTTGGCGCTCAGCGATTACTTATCTAATACCTAGCCTCCAACCCCGCCGCGTTCCATAGCCCGCCCGTTGCCGGCTAACAAGCGAGTGATGATGCGCGATGGGTCCCTGCAGTGGAGAGAGATCAGATGGATATTGTACATTACGTTAGACATACTAGGTCTACCTACTGGTGCATTAGGAAAATAGTATTTACCTAATAGTAGGTAGTAGGTACATCTACATATTTGCCATTGGAAGTAAATAAAGCGCTACATAACCTACATACCTACTGTAGTACATATGTGACTTGCAGCCCTAGTAGAGTTACGCAGAGAAGCTCACAGCTTCAATGTTGTCCTCAGAAACACAATCTATATAAGTTGTAGCACCCATTGTTCCTGTTACTATACAGGTGCTTTTCAGAATGCCTGTCTGCATCGCGCATGCACTACCTCCAACCGTCTCTGTGCAGGTATTTACATGTACATACCTGGTAGGTAGATCGATCTGTTCCATGGTTGACAAGGCAGTTAGTTTACTGTACCTACTTAAGGCAGTCTCGGCAGTGTTAGGTGTAGCGTATCTAGGCACCTATGGTACAGTACCTAGCAGATGCAAGTAACCACCTCCCCCCTGTAACCCACTAACGTAGGCACTGTACCCCGGATGTGAGGTGACCTGATCGGGTGAGACAACATCCCATCCGTCCAGCTCTAAGCTTATCTGTACTCCTCACTGACAGCTATTCAGACTTCAATGTGAGCACATTTGAGCGGGTTTTGTGTTTTGCTTTTTCTGTATATTTATCTCCTGTTTGTTGTTACATTTATATCCCGGCCGTGCTGCGCCGAATCCTGAACCTCGACCAACCACAATCTACATCCATTCATTGCATCTCCTCCAATCCGTCCTCCGATCCAACATCGAGTCCTCGGACACTGCGTGTCAACAGCTCAACATTCCACAGCTATACTTTTCCCTAAGAACACCACACGCGATTCATCAGATATCTCCCTGTCCATCTCATCGTCAAAATGGATCATTCGCATATGGATCACGGAAACATGGACCACGGCAATCATGGAGGAGGCATGCCCATGCCTATGTGCAGCATGAACGTTCGTTACACTCCCAACACTTCCCCCATCTACAAGCCATCTCTCCACAAATACCTCAGCGACAAATCAGATACTAGTCTTGATGTGTTGCAATGTTGCGCAAATGTGACAATGATGGAGCTGCGGATTGTCCCGCGGCAAACGCCTGCAGTCAGACTGCACAGAAGAGACTCGCAATTGACAATGAAGAGCTGCAAATGCTAACATCTCTCTATCCACCATAGATGCTGTTTACTTGGGACACAACGAACCTATGTATTATCTTCCGACAATGGCATGTCACCGGAAGCGCATCGCTCGTCTTCAGCCTGCTGGCCATTGTTGCCATCTGTGCCGGCTATGAGGCTCTCCGCGAGGGAACAAGGAAATATGAAGTATGGCTCTCAAATAAGGAAGCAGCGCACAGTGAGTCTTGACAATCTTTCTTCTGACCCCACTTAAGCATATATACTCCCATCCGCTCCCATAAGGCACCACGAAGAAAAGTGAAGAAACAGACATTGGCGCAGTAAAAGATGTAGTACCGGGGAGGTAGATGAATGCTGCAATATCAAGATAGAAAACGGGGAGCAGAAGCTATAAGATGGTTTCCAGTTTTCTGGGGAAAAAAGAACACTGATATTGACGCTCTTCTGCGCTCTGTTCGAGACTCTGGCGCGCATGACGAGCTACGTGGAGAACGCTATCAAGACAATGATCCCAACCACGAACGAGAACAAGTTGCTGAGACCACGCCATTTCTGGGAATAGAGCGAATCGGCGCAGGCCTCTCCAGTTCCGAGTCACCCATTAGCCAGCGCGCACGCATCCTCAAGGCCATCTTATATGGCGTGCAGAACTTCTACGCTTTCATGATCATGTACGTCTCTCTGAACTCTTACCTACTCCTTTCGGGATGTACCCCAACCAACAATGCGTGAATTATATAGGCTTCTGTTCATGACCTACAACGGTTGGGTGATGATTGCAGTTGCTGTCGGTGCAGGTCTGGGATATTATATCTTTGGTTCGAACACGCGAGCCACAAAGGAAACTGCTTGCCATTGAACATGCGCCACGCACTTGAAGGTGAAGGTGAAGAAGATGGACGGATGAAATGCATTGTTAAAAATGACATAGGGAAGCAAGCGATGAGTGTGCATGTGGTTGAAGTCGTAATGATGACGATGGTGTTGATCGATGGTAGCAACAAACAGAACAGCAGCATGTTAGACGGAACAAACAATGTGGATCAATCACGGTTTAAGACTCTACTTTTGGTGGAAATGTGTCCCCATCATCACACAACTAGGTATCCAATATGTGAGGTATTCATATATTGTTGTAACCTTCTAATCATGGGTTTCGAGTCTTGTTCTAAACTAAACGCTGCGTACTGCACAGCAGTCTAAATGTCTATCCGGCTTCTACTTAGACCGCCCAGATATGCAAACGACCACAATAATGCTGAGGCTATCAAAATCCAGGAAAGAGGCTATGTATAACTTCTTCTTCTTCCATCCGCTATCATAAGTTAGCTGTTATCATTTCGGAATTCCTTACTTTGAACCCCGACCCACCAGTTTACCTTGGTAGTGTAACCAGCCCAATCTATTTTGGATAGGTATCTTGTAGACGATCACATCTTGGCATCCTTGACTTCCTCCTTGACAGCGTCGAGACCGACCTCTTTCCTCTTCTTCTCGGTCATCATCCTGCCTTCTCTGGTCTGTTGCTCGATCAGAGCTTCGTCGCCGTAGTGGTCGTTGTGCTCGAACTCGGGCTCCTGGGCGTATGCGATGCGCGCCGCGTCCACCAAAATGCGGCCTGTCATGCCCCAGACCAAGAAGCGGTCGATGGGCGGTGTTTGCTCGTTTTCGGGGATATCGTCACCGAAGGCCTCAAGACCATCCTCGCGGATCTTGGGCGTCGTCACGCGCTGCGTGTGCACGGGGACGTGAAAGTTGTGCACGCGCCACGGGTACGTGTCCACGTTGATCCAGCGGCCATCGTACCAGTGGCCGGGAGGCATGGGGGGATCGCCGGGTTGGGGGGCTTCGTCGGTGCTGCGGAGGAAGTTGGCAAAGGGCGCGGAGAATACGGCTGCTACTTCTTTCGCGTCGAGCCGGGGGATCATGGCTTCGTCAACTGTTGGCGATGGCGGAAAGCCCGGCTTGTCCTCTGAATGGAGGAAGGCCACGCAGGGGCGCACGGCCAGTTCCGTCTTAGCAAGGCTGCAGGGCAGACTACACAGTGGCTCAATGTGGAACGGAGATGGGATCTTGTTGTCGTCCATGGGGAGACCAATCTCTTCCCATGCTTCGCGACGAGCTATTTGATCTAGGCAGCAGGGATTTTCGTGTTAGTGAATTCCGAACAGCTTACTTCGTCTGTAGGCCCTAGCTCCGAAGCTTGCAACTGGGCTCCCAATTCGTGTTGCCCAGCCAGCCAGGATACGGGAATGCCCATTGCCCTCGAAGTAAAGATGTTTGCAATTGTCGGTAGATGGACTTACATGGGCTTTCGCTGAGTGAATCCGCTTTCCCACCAGGAAAAGCGGCATGACCTATACATCGGAAGAATTAGCTTCGTTCCCAATCTACAAATGATGACGCCTAGAGGTACTGAGCAGCAGAATTGGAGACATTGTCTCAGCGAGTCTGGAAAGACAGATGAGAGAGCATGCAGCCTACCGGAGAAGTTTCTAAGGCTCGCAGCGCGCATTGTGATGACGACTCGCAGATCGCCCCTCCGATCTCCGAATAAAAGGATCAAGACGGCGGCGCGCCGAGATACTGGGAGGCGATCCCATGTCGGGAACGGCGGTGGTTTATATGCACGCAGTCGAGCGATGGCAGCCTTTGAAGAAGAACTGTGTAAGTGCATTTTCGTTACTGACATGATCGGGAAGGTTCAAGTTATGATTTATATGTACATGTCTGTCTTGGGTGTAAGGCGCAAGTGACGTTATCATTCACGTTTGATCTGTCTGTATATCTTATGTGGGTGTCCGTGGAACGGCACCACACCTTATTCTAAGGAGTTAAGGTACCACAAGAAGCAAGTTGCAAAGTGTGAAGTGATGATTAAGTGTGAATTGCATCGTCTCGCATAGAAATTGGTATATATAGTATATCACACATGGTGGAGACGGTGGGTGATGGATCGCAACAGAGGTCTTCAACTCAGGATGAGAATAAGCATTAACTATACTGACCGCCGAGACTGGATTGAGTGGCGCCATGCTGGACGCATCCCAGTAGTACGACGCCTGATCTTGCACTTCCGAAAGCGTCCGCTGGCGCTCGCCTGATTCTTGTTGCGACTGTCGGGATGAGGCCTGCTGAAGATTGTAGGAGAGGGCGAGGGCGAGATCGGCGGGAAGGATGGCCGACGGATCGTTGGAGCTCTGGTCTGTCTCGGCCGGCTCCAGGACGTTCGTCGGTGTAGAGTGGGCCGATACTCGGGGCTGTTTGTGGCTGTATTCTCGGGCAGTAGATGACGATATAGCAGAGGCGTCGTGGGCGCCGTTCGGAGCCGTTGTGTTCATTATGTAATCAAGCAGAAAGAAAGGGAGAAAAAAAATAGAGTAGGAATCTGGAGCAAGGGGCTGTAGTACCGACAGAAACGTATATATGCGTAAAGTATGCATAAGATATGTCAGAGTTGGGATGCAATCCAATCGAACTAATGGTTGAGTAACTTGGGCCCTACCTACCAGAGTACCTACCTACTGTATGTACATGGGTAGGTAGGTATGTTCGACTGACGTATTACTTTGTAGTCGCATCGCACTGCCGGGTCGGATCCGCTATTATTAGTGCAAAGTGCACCCCACCTTCTCAATTTGGCAACAGAGCTCGCCAGTTCCCTCAACCTCCATTTCTCTCATACTTCTTGTGTCAAGCCACACTGCCTATAATTTATTTCGTAGGTACGGAGAGTTTTCGAGGTGTAAGGTATTATGCATATGTAACCAGGTAAGCTCAAGAGCCTGCGATAGATCGATCATCATAGGCTTGCCTCGGCTTGATGTACGAAGTTTGTTAATCCACCTATGTACGTGGGCAGTCCATTTACATACAAGATCACCGCTATGCTGACCTACTGCTGACCTATCAATAGGTAGGAAGATTATGTTTTGTTTCATTACCTATTAGACTACGTAGTACACGGCTAACAGCCTGAGATTGAGTACCTATGTCACAAAGGTCCCGCAGAGTGTTTTAGCTTAAAATATATCATTAGCGCTTCAATCCGTGATATGGCGAACTTGACGTTTCAACTCGTCCCGTCGCTTCTCCCTCCTGGACTCTTCAGATCCCATTTTGAGGCCTTGCTTGGCTTTAGATAGTATGCCCTTGGGCCTGGGGCTTGGCGAGACGACGCCTTGCTTGTCCAACTGGCTTAAAATCTCTGTATACCCGGGAGGGGGCTTGGGGCTGTTCTGTCTCGGCGGACGACGCAGGCTGCCAAATCTACCCAGCTTCTGTTGCCTGGCACTTGGTTCATCGAGGCTGGATGCCCTTTTCTCTGACGTGGCTGAGTTTGGGCGCGGTGGAAATGGGGTCTTGACAAACTCCCCTTGGACTAACCGCCCCCCGAGTTGAAGAGGAGGAGGCACTGGTCGTTGGCCGGCTCCGGGTCTATCCGATGAAAACGAGTCAAGCTTCGGCACAGCAAAGGATACTCTAGGCTCTTCCACAACGGCCTTGTCTTCTGGATGGCGAGTTTGCTCGCCACCACTGTGAGTTGACTGTGGTTGAACTGTTCGACGCCCCGGTGCGCTCTGAAAGTACTGCGAGCGGCCAGCATCAGGAATAAGATCGCAGAAACCTTCGAGATCAAAACTAGGACTGAGCGGACTGAGTTGAGTGAGCGGGCTCCCCGGGTCGCTGTACCGAAAATTAGCGCTTGACGACTGGTTCTCTAATGGGACTGAGAAACCAATGTCTGCGATTCGGTGTTCTTCTCTTGCTGGCGTCTGGGGGGTCGGCTGTTCTTCCTCGTCGGAAGAGGTATCATCAAACCACGACTCGTAGTTTGCAGGTGCTACTGCCCCGGAAGTTGTCCCTTTCTCAAAGTCATCCGAGAGCGGTGACACGACGTGGGTTTTCCAGTTTGATGGCCCCGGAGTATCGATTGGGCTAACTAGCTCATCACCCCTCGTCCATAACGATATAAGTCTGGAGTCTGGGCGCTGTGGTTGAGGCGACACAACCTGTGGATGAGACTTATCTACATGCGAGTAGGTTGGTATTGTAATTTGTGGCGGCTGCACCATTGCCTGTGCACTCTCGTCTACTGCGCCAGCAAAGCTAGTACTTCTGTGACCATCACCCCTGTTACGAGACACCTCAAGGGGCGCCGGCATCTGTCGATTTGTATGGTCGCTTTCGGGTTCATATATTGACGAAGAAGCCGATAGGGGCCGGGGACCTGCGAATATAGGGAGCAAAGGTAAAGCTCGGTCCGTGTAGCGGTCGATATTTTCGGGCGGATCATGATATTGGGGGGTAACAAAAACCCATTCCTGACCTCTCAGAGTTGGTGTAGACCCCGTATAGTGCTCTGGCATCTTCTCCTGCGTAGTCATGTTTCTACAATCTCAACATAGCTCAACGTTGCCGGTCTGAGGTGGCAGCTGAGCAATGTGTAGGGTGCCATCCTAATGTTGGCTGAGCATGAACAAAGAACAGCGGAGTATGAGGAGTGAGAGGAATCCTTTCAGAGTGGCTTTACCACACTAGTATAGATCCTTTGTCAAGTCAGAGTCTATCAAAGAAAAACGGCGGGTAGCTTGAGTGCTGATTTCATGATACTGTCGGAGGCGGGCCACGGTAACAGCATCAAGATGCCGATGACGTAATAACAGAGTTCCCTCACTATTCAGCATACACACGTTGGAGCGGACGGGTCGGCGCTGTATTGAATCATGTTTGCGTGCTGGATAAGTTTTAGCTCGTGACCGTGCTTCTGGTGCTTTTTGCTCTTGTGGCAAACTTCTTGACGAAGAACACTCTGTATGAAGGGGGGTCGTTCATCTCGATAGATGACTATGATCAATAGTTGAACTACAGGGCATGGAGACATTGCAGGTGATATAGTGTTTTTGGAATTGAGCAGCTGTCATATCATGCCTACCTAAGTCTGGCTTCATAACGTGAGCAGGAAATAGCAGGTGACAGCTACCGACACCGCCTCGTGATCACGGTGGGGAAGTTGGGAGAATTAAGCCAACACTGCTGCTATTACCTAGGCACCTACTGAGCATTAAAACGCGAGTTGCAACTATTGGGGATCCTTGGGGATCAAGATGATATCTACATTGTCTATGAAGACTGGTGATAGATCTGGTGTCGACTCGCAATCAGCCAATTGGAAATAATCAAGGTAACTTAGTGAGCGGAGCTGCCAGCACTTGGAGGCTTGCAAGCAACCTCCTAGAAGGGAGGCAAACACCGATTTACCATCGGCAATAAGATGCATTGGAAATCGACTTACATAAGTCACACTAGGTAGGTACCTACATTATAAGTCAAAGTTGAGTATGGAGATGATGTTTAATAGCGAGGTTTAGTAATGTCACGCTACAGCGAGATACAGTATCTATCATAGTATATGTACAGTACCTAGATACCAGTGTCTGGCGAGTCGTCGATTTATGCTTCTAGCTATAAGGGGCAGTAGAGCCGGGGCAGATACGAAGTAAGTACTTAGCTACATTGTAAATACTCTACGATCAGAGTACGGTACTTACTCTATGTCGAGTATTTTCTTTCGACGGTATCATAGGATGTGTTAAGGCGCAGAACGTGGTAGGTCGTGAGAGCTGCTTCCAAGGGCTGTCTGGGCTGCCTGGGCTGTGAAGCGCCTTGTCCGCAGCCATTCCATGCGATGTGGCTTGTGACCGATGTCCACCAACGGCTGAGCAAATCCGGTGATCTTTCAAGAACATCATTCAGCTTGATGTACCGGTAGGGTTAGTCGGGTTAGGTACATGCAAAGCAGGGGATATGTACTTCAGAATTAACCATCCTCCGCATACTCGTTGCGCTCGATACCACGCCTCTGCCACGCCCATAGGGCTGCATACAATACAAGCGCCATGGACGTATACCAGGTACCGTAAATGCATTAAATTAAGTCGAAAGTGACCGTTTTATTCCAAAACGGATTCGATACTACTAGGCACTAGCTAAGACCTTTTTAAGCATCGAAGCTTAACTCCGGATTTATCGCCGATTCACGCCTCATTGCTCTCACGAAACGCGTCGCGTGTACTCTCAGCCTCTTCTATAGTCAAAAATATTAACAGTTCCTAGGGGCGTTCACTCGTTACGAACCCATGCCGTATTTTTCTCCGAGCCTCATCCCTTTCATATATTCAACTTCAACTCATCATGGCGAAACAAACCAACGACAAATTCCGAATTACCAAGAGGGCACCAACAAAAGCCAAGGCGCGTTCGGCGGGTCGGCCCGACCGCGCAGACCGTATACCTACCGATGTTCTACTAGCCATCAAGGTGGAACACCTAGCAAATATTGCCAGTAGGAAAAAGAATCACGAGTATCGCAAATACCGGCTACCTGACGGGGTCGAACGGCTATGGTTATATGAAACAGCCAATGGGGGTGGGAAGGCGTCTATAACGTACGTACTGGACGGTCCGCCTGAATTATTATACGATACTGACTCCCCGGGTCCCGTATAGACACATTGCTGTGATCCCCGATTCTATACGACGTGTCCCCGGCCAAGTCCCAACTGAACCCCCCGGCATTGGCAACGACGATTTTAATGCCGGGTTAAAACAGTCCAAATACGGTTATCCAATCTTGGAGCTATACAAGCTTGTGCAGCCAGTGGCACTAGCTGAGATGAAGTCTAAGTGGAATATGGGTGCTCCGATGGGCTGGCGCTATGTGTCGTCTGAATTGTGGACTGACAGATGGGGGAAGAATATCGATCGCGAATTGAAGGTTAAAAGGATGTTTTAATATACGACACGGGTTGGTTTTCGTTTGCGTTTGGTTGGGGGACTGTAATTGCATGGATACCTAGGATTGGCTGTGAATGAAATAGGAGCTTACAACGGGCATCAATGTCAAGTCCCATCCAAGTACCGATAGGCACTAGAAATAGGGCGCAAAATTTCTTGACTCAACTTCCAACATCCCGCAAGATGATAGCATGGAAATATGCCACCGAGAATGATCTGAACAGTTTCTTTGGATCCGCCATCCAACGTTGCACCTCATCCCAAATCTTACGCAACCCTTCAGATCCATCACCCCCAAATCGCTCTCTTAATCGGGCATAGCTACAGAAGCCATCCATTCCTTGTTGTTTCATGAATTCGTACGCACCGTCACGGATGTAGAGTGACTTCGATAGCTTCGCGCCGCTCCAGTCCACGATCAGGGGTGCGTACAGGATGTGAGGTGTCCGTCCACGGGCTAGACCTGTGATGGCTGACCAAGCAGCGAGAGGGCGGTAAAGGAACATCTCCTGATACACTCCAGCGTAATCGGCGCCTGTGACGCGGATATGGTGCGTGGTAGTGTCAAGGAGGTGCGTCATACTGCGCAGTAGATTCCGCGTCGGTGCATTCGCTTCAAGACGAGCAGTCTCCGCAGGGCAAGAGAGTCTGACAGCGTGTGGGCCGTGATGTGGACAATGAAAAGTGATAATACCGTCCTGGCCATTATTATCCGCTCTGTATTCGTTCAGTCGACCGTGCTTCTCCGCGAGACCGCAGCCTGGTACTGGACATGCTGAGCGGAGTGCAAGCGAGCCGTATTTTGGGGAAAGCTGACGCCCGAGAGTCTCATGGTGGAGAATCATGTAGTTGAGAAGCACCGGCATCGAGGAATTTGAAAAGAAGTCGGCCTGGAACGCTACATTGACTGGAACATCGGCCCACATAGACAGATATCTAACCACCTCTTCATAATCGGCCATATACGTGCTCAGTGCATCCTGAACATCCCTGTGCGACCTCTGATATTGGATTCCTTCAACTTCCATTTCTTTGTCTTTTACCGGGGCGGTGTCGACAAACGTGATGAGGACAGTGACTGACGGTGGAATATCCTTCCCGCTAGCTTCCAGGACGCGCATCCGGTCACGAATGCCTTTGGCGATTGAAAATGCATAGCAGAAAACTACCAATGTCCCCAAATGAGGGGAGTTGTTGGGTTGGAGACCAGCATCAATAACGATCGGGCGCGTGGGAAGGCCGTTCGAACTCATGAGTTCGTCGCGAGTCGCGACTGAGTCATGGGCTGCTTCATCTTCGAGTAGTGCCAGTAACATCGGCCCCACGATGTCATTCTGGAAAGCGTACGCACCACCACCTAAAGGATCATGGACCTGGCCGTCATGGAATGTCATGAAAAGCGGGTGATCCGGTATCAATGCGTTGGCAAGACGTTGCGTGGCAGTAAGAATTCTCTCATAATCGGTGCTTCCTGGCGACGTGGATAGTGAATCAGACTGGGTTGCATTCGTAGCCAAAGGGGTAAGGACGTCTATTAAACCCCGGACTGTGTCTGAGCGCATGTCAGAGCCCATTTAGTTAGCAGTTCTGGAAATCGCGATATATGAAGCACAATAAGAAGCATGCTGTTTGGCAGATTGGTTGATTGCTTCATCGTAACGCGGTGTCAATATTTATACTGAACTCTTCTAGATACATTTACCTAAATTGTTGGGTAATAACCTCGCAGACGAGGTATATTCGCGAAATTACGCCTTGCCGCACGCCCAAAGCCTGATACTTTATGAGAGTTGTTAAGCCTGGGTAACTGTAGACTAAGGCCCTGCGTAGGTACCTAATGAAAAAATAACACTGCATATATAGAACTAAGCTACTTGCGTCTAAGTCGTATAATTTATGAATGTTATAAAGCTACGATTGTGTATGTATATAGTAGGTGTAGGTGGGGGATGGTGGCAGAAATGTCACACGGATCTAGATCTAGAACCAGATCTACATCGGAACAGGTCAGATCTGCCCCTTGATCTAGCGAACTGCATATTCGTGTGCATATTCGTATCGTGTATATACTCATATGATCGGGAGGCAGAGCCTATGGATATTTAAGGGCTCCCGTCTGCTCCCGTCTCTGTTCTGATCTTTTAAGACAAGAATACGAGAACGCGAGGGCAAGGAGAGCCGAGCAACTGGCACATAAAAGCCTAGAGGCTCACCCGCCTGGATGAACAGGAGGAATCAGAACTCCAGAGAGCTCCCTTGACTCCATAGATGATTATTGCTAAATCGAATACACTTCCAAGCCTTTATCTTCAGCCCTTGTTACAGAAATAGGTGGGCTAAGTTACGTAGGAAGGTCTAAGTAGACGTTACGCTATTGGCAAAAAGATCACCCTCCAGGCTTAACAGGCTGTTTGTCTAGAGCACATCGCTCACAAATGATCTTGGACTAAACAACGCCCTAAAAAAAAAAAAACTAACTATAAATGTAGCTTATTAACGAGTAAAGAAAAAACATTTAAGGGGTATAGCATTTCTTGATTCTACCTTGGACCCTTAGAAACAAGGTATATAGCAGAAAAAACCGATAACACAATTACGGGCTTTATGCCGTCGCGTTGGGCCGTTTCACGTAACGGTTCTGGCGACCGTTTCTCTCTGCATAAAATGAATCATAAATTATGTCCTCAGTCATCTACCGTCGTGATTATATATGGTTAGTTGGAGAGGCAAGAGTGGGGAAGGGAAATGTACTTAATAGAGTCATCTACAGCATGTAGGTACTTATATTTTTGCGGGCGGTGACTCTCCCACTGGGCAGAAGCGAAAAAGGCGGCTTCTCAAGGCAGCACTGAGCAGGCAGGGAATGGCATCCTCGACATCATCCCAACTCCACTTCTGGGAGGCAGCTCTCCCTTCCCCATTTTTTTAGTGACTAGGTAGGTCCTGTAGGAAGTGAATCGCCCTCGTCGCCCTTCGCATTCGACAGACACGATCTTGTTGGGACTTGTCTACCATCCCGTCACCACTCATTCCCCTGGACAGATCCAAGTGCCTCTGGGAAGACGGATGCCTATTATATCCCGCCAGGCTCCCGTTGCTTTTTTGTCTTCTCTCCAGTAATCTCTGATCGTCCAACATCCCGCATACTGTACCGCGCCACGTACAAGTGCTGCTGTTACCTGCTCGGTACCCATCACCGATCTACCTGCACTGGCTATCCAAGTTGAGTGTTGAATTCTTCAGCCATGGCTCCACGCGAGAAGAGCCAATTGAAGCGTGCAAGAGTCGGTCATTGAACCTCGCCACATCGTCGCTCTCATTAACAATATCCGTTGTCAGGACTCTCCGAACTACCAAGACAGCGACCTCGCCAAGAAACCACGACGGTCAGAGAGGTTATCGCATAAGCCTGACGCCGACAACGAGAGGCTCAAAACCCCCATTATCACGAATCAGCTCCCTTCTCCTGTCACCCATCAGGCTACAGGCAGCGATCGCGATGGTTACAAGGAACCCACCGCCGAGCCCCCGGAGGGCCGTCCCAGCCAAGTCACCCACCGCACCCCCGAAGAGTCCCACTCACAGCCCCAAGGCTTCTCATCTCCGCCCCAGGACACCCAGGCCTTCCCGACCTCTCAGTATGTAGACGCTGACGGCGCTCTCTCTGATGAGGTGCAAGATGAGGTGAAGGAGGGAGTCTGGGGTTACCTTTTCCCCCTAGACACGAGATACGGCGGTCAATGTATTGTATTGAAGAAACGCAGCATGTGCCCCCATCCCAAGGACGTTGAAAATGCCGTGGGTTCAACAAAGGAGGATGGGACTTGTAAATGTGCCTTGGAGCAGGAGGAGTCGTATGAGAAATCGAAAACAAAAGGTGTGCCATCAGGTGGATACCTAATTGGCCGCCACCCAGAGTGCGGTAAGTTTTAACCTAATTACAGTCCCTTTAACTAAGCTATCTAACTCGGCGAGTAGATGTCGTTATAGACCATCCCATAATCTCAAACCGTCACTGCCTCATATTTACGGAAAATAAAGGCGAGGATACTGTTGCTGTCATGGAGGATTTGTCAAGCAATGGGACCTTCGTCAATGAGGCCATAGTTGGCCGTAACCAGCGGCGCGAACTTCAAGAACAAGACGAGATTGCCGTCATGGACAAGGCTCGTTTCATTTTCCGCTACCCTCGCAGCCGCCATTCAAGTGCTTTCCTGCAGCAATATACTCTACTTGAGCGCTTAGGCAAGGGTCACTTTGCTGAGGTGTTTCTGTGTGTTGAAAAGTCGACGGGCCAGCGATTTGCTGTCAAGATATTTACTAAGCACCCTGGTATGGAGGAACGGTCCAAGATGGACGGGTTACAACAGGAGATAGCAGTCTTGATGGGTGTTAGCCACCCAAATGTCCTCTGTTTAAAGGACACCTTCAACGAGAAGAACGCCGTATATCTCGTGCTAGAGTTAGCACCTGAAGGCGAACTTTTCAATTTTATTGTAATGAAACAGAAACTTTCCGAAGATGAGACAAGAAAACTCTTTGTTCAGTTATTCCAAGGTATCAAATATCTGGTAAGTAATTAGCTTCGACGACGCCCTCTACTGGTAGTGTGATGCTGACTTTCTGAAGCATGATCGGAACATTGTTCATCGTGACATCAAACCTGAGAACATTCTTCTTGTAGATAAAGATGTTCATGTTAAGCTCGCAGATTTTGGCCTTGCCAAGATTATTGGTGAGGAGTCATTTACTACAACATTATGCGGCACACCAAGCTATGTTGCGCCCGAAATCTTGGCCGAAGGTCGCCATAGAAAGTATACCAAGGCTGTTGATATTTGGTCCCTTGGAGTTGTGCTCTACATTTGTCTTTGTGGCTTCCCGCCATTTTCCGACGAACTTTATAATCGCGATTTTCCTTACACGCTGTCTCAGCAAATCAAGAGTGGACGATTTGACTACCCGTCTCCTTACTGGGACTCAGTAGGAGACCCGGCACGTAAGTTCACACATACCTCGAGTCTCGGGCGAAGTTCACTAACTAACCTCACCAGTTGATTTAATTGATCATATGCTTGTGGTTGAACCGGAAAGGCGTTATACCGTCGACCAATGTCTACAACATCCGTGGCTGAGTCAAAAGATGCCTCTGGTGGCAGATAGTACTGATGGGCTTGTAGACGGTATCGGTGGACTTGACGTGCATCGCCGGGGAGTAGTTCGTGAACGAACACTTCTTAGTTCCATAAACTCAGTGCACTTGACTCGCAAAGTGCCCCTCGGCCCCAACTCTAAGCAGCCACTCAAGATATACACCAAGAACCCAACCGCGCAAAACAAGCCGGGACCTTCAGAACCCCGACCTGCCGACGAGCGAGCAACTGAAGAATTCGTGCAGATGGGTGGCAAAGGCGACCAGGAGCTTTTTGCTGATGACTCGAACACTTTCTACTCCACCTCCGAGGCCACAGCGGCTAAGGGCACAAAACCCAAGGGCAAAGGGAAGGGAAAGGTGAACGGTCGGTGACGGGAAGACCAGATATCGAACGGCTAAGAAGGCTTCTCGGGGGTTCGCGCTGGGAGGTTTAATCTTTACATATATGCATGGCGTTTATCATGTCCCGGCTACAGATACGAAGGAGCCTGTTCGGCTTGAGCACTCTCTTTTATGCTTGGTCCTGTCCAGTGGCCCAAGCCACCCTTTCGCGTATCTTGCACCGGCATCTCGGTTTTCTGTGTTTGATATTGCTCACTATCTGGAATTTACTTGATGGTTTTACGCTGTGGTAGCTATGCTGGAAGAGAGTACTCTCAGATAACATGTTCTTGGGAGCGAATCTGGCGGTCATGGATGAACAAGGAAAAACAAAACTGGCGATGCATCATCTTGGCGCCTATTTTTGTCTGTATTTCTACTCACTTTAGCTATATTATAATAACAAACATTCAAGATATTCTGATAGGATATACATATACACAATTAACGCAACGCGAAAGTAGCGAGGACGAGTTTTATCAAGCTTTTATGATCTCCTCCTTCTCATGCTTTGAGGACTCGAGAGCAGGGGAAACTAGGCGGATCGTGAAATCCTTGTAGATATTACCCGGCTAGATAGAGTATGGTCAAGTTCAGGCTTCTCTCGATTCATACATGTCAATATTGATGGAGCCCTGAACATACTTACGGTTCAGACAGCCAGCCACCTTATCTAAATCTCGATATGTTGTCAGCTGTTCAAATATCCGGATTGTAGTCTTGTGGCTTCATCCATCAGCTACATGCCTCGGCTTAATTCGTGATCGTGCGTGTTACACACACATTGAAAACCTTCGTACGCCCGTGGGAATAGCCTGCGGCGTCAGGTGTAACGTTCGTGTAGAGGGATTTCTAATGGATACAAGGCATGCACGTCATGTTGAAAGTGACGTTATAAAGATTTCGCTTGGTCGATACAAAATTAACGAGCTTTGGAGGTCAGCAGAGTCCGTACCAATTGTTTAAGTATAGAGTCAAGGCTAAGCTGCTAAGGTCTGAAGGAGGGAATCGAATGGATTTATATGGAACTTGGCAGCCATAACAGATTGTTATATTGTGGATAGCTTCAATTCTGAGCAGGGTGGCCTGCTCTTGTGATAATACCCCATGGACACCGATGGCATAGAATCAGTACTTACGTAACGCATGCGCTTATATATTTACGTTGAACTGGTACATGTACGTATATTTATCTGTCTATATGTATTTTCGCCTCTCGATCCGACCTCAGACGACCCCAACGCCGGTGGAGACCCAATGGAGCGGCTGAATGGTGAATAACTTGTACAGTAAGTATAGAGACAGTATCAAAAATACATGCTGGGATATTCTTTTGACTCCAATCCATGTAACAACATACAAGATCAAGGGAAAAGCGAGTAGCTTGCTTTCTATACTGCAAGACTGTAGCCGCCGCCGAGCCGTTTCCGCCCGTACCTGTACCATTTCCTAGCTTCATCTGCCCAAAACACCGAGCTTGCTAATGCTACCAAGCGTACGAGATCGATAAGACTGAGGGCCTCTGTCTGGAAGACCTCTTGGAGCCAAGGGAAATAGATAACGAGCAATTGGCCCGCTAGACTCAATGCCACGGCCCAGTTAAAGAGCTTATTGGAAAACATGCCGACCTCGCCCCGGAAGATGGACTTGCTCTCTGACCGGCATGAAAGTGCGTTGAACATGTCGAAAAGTACAAAACAGGTAAAGGTCATGGTTGTATCACGTCGCGTAACTTCACCGTCCGCCAACATCTCGTGATAATAAACGAGCATCGTGCCTGTCATGATGATTGCGGCAGACGTTAGAACACGTGTAATTAATGATCGAGTCAGTACCGGCTCGCTACGTGAGCGAGGCGGACGGGACATAACATCAGGGTCAACCTTCTCTACACCGAGAGATTGAGCTGGGGGGCCATCCATTATGATATCTACGATGGGTTAGCGAGGAATTGGGTATTGATCTTAGAATAGAACACCTACTGATCCAGAGAATCTGCATGGCATTCAGGGGCGTCTTGAATCCCAGGCAAGTGCAGAGTAACACAAGTGTAAGGCTCGCCACGCTCGTGCTCAATTGAAATGTTATAAAGTTCTGTATGTTATTAAAGATGCCTTTACCCTCCTCAATGGCATGCAAGATGGTAGAAAAGTCATCATCTGTAAGAATCATGTCAGATGCTTCTTTGGCGACGTCAGTGCCATGCATTCCCATAGATATGCCGATATCCGCTCGTTTTAACGCAGGCGCATCATTTACACCATCGCCAGTCATGGCCACAATATCGCCTCGCGCCTGCAGTGCACGGATAATCTTTAACTTGTGGTCCGGGTTCGTACGTGCAAAGATGGTTGTTGCTTGCATTGCCGCCCCTAGTTCGTCGTCAGTCATGTTATCTACCTCGTCGCCCGTGATCACGGGTTTTATGGCTGTCTGGTTTGTTGTTTGTTCCCGAGATGTCGCGATATGCATGCCAAGCTGTTTCCCTATAGCTCGTGCGGTAGTGGGCGAATCACCCGTGATCATAATGACCTTAACACCACCACGCATGAGCTTTCGAATCGAGCGGGCCACACCTGGCCTTGGAGGGTCACTCATGCCCACTAGGCCGGCGAAAACTAGACCTCGATATAATTCCTCGTCGTGAGACGGGGATGGGTTCTGATTTCCATCTCGAACAACGGGTGTACTGCTTCTGGAGACTGGACCTGGTCCGCCCCTGCTGCGTGTTGACCTATTGATAGGACCGCTTGCAAAAGCTAAAACACGTAGCCCCTTCTCCGCCATGGTCTCCGCTGCCTGAATGGCTTCTTGGCGTCGTTGAGAATCCATAACAACTTCACGGCCGTCTGGTGTAAGATATGAATCGCAGGCATCTAAGACCTTATCGATTGCCCCCTTCATGTAAGCGTATTCCTTCTCGCTGTTTCCAGGTTGCGCTCCAATTATAACGCCCATCCACTTGCGCTCAGAGCTAAATGGCATTTCCGCGGTCCGCGGTCCAATAGACTCCCTCACATCGTGCTCTTTGTACCTGTCGAGAAGATCAAGTATAGCGATATCTGTCGGCTGTCCTACCCATCGCGTATAAGACGTGAAATCTTTCCTCTGGGTGTCAGGAAGTATAGATTGTGTGCTATGAGCTAGGCGCGCATTATTAGCTATGTTACCAATACGGAGTATTTGTAACGCCGCAACATCCGGGGTTGTTTCGGTTGCTACGTCATCAGAATCGACATCCAATGGCCCTCTTGACCCAAAATACCACATTTGCGTAGTTGTCATGTGATTCATGGTCAATGTTCCTGTCTTGTCGGAACAAACCACGTTGACAGAGCCCAGCGTTTCAACACTCGGCATCTTTCGAACAATGGCATTGTGCTTAGCCATCCGGTGAACGCCGAGTGCTAGGGTGACAGTCACAATGATAGGGAGTCCTTCAGGAATGGCAGCTACAGCCAGGGAAATGGAGATAGTGAAAAGGTCGAGGAGCTTTTTCCCTTGCAATAAACCAACCAGTGAGATAAGCGCAATAATTCCAAACGATATTTGGCTCAATTGTTTCCCCAACTGATCCATATTCAGTTGGAGAGGTGAACGCGGGCTCTCAGTACCGGACACACTCGCGGCAATCGTACCAAAATGAGTTTCACCACCCGTTGCAAACACAATGCCTTGTCCGTGGCCAGATCTGACAAGCGTTCCCATGTATGCGATGTTGTTTACACCCTGATTGCGCGCATCCTTCTTCGATTCGCTCTGGTATAAAGGAGAAAGAACCGAAGGACTCGGGTGACGTAACTCATTCGAGTCAGGAATCGACGGTGAATAGGTATGGCGAGATCTTGTGTCCGCTGTCATCTTCGAAGGCTCGTTTTCTCCGGTAAGGTTCGACTCATCAATTGTCAGGTCAACTGCTTTCGTTATTCGAATATCGGCTGGTATACGATCGCCAGTAGTGAACAGAACCAAATCTCCAGGTACCAACTGGGCGGCCATCACTTTCGATGATGTCGCTTCCATCTGTTCTTCTCCTGGCGTTTCGGTGTCATCACCACTGTCTTGTCCATCCCCGACAGGTGGCCATGTCGAGCTTCTCGCGTTGGGAGGAACCTTGGAGCTTTGTGCGCGGACCAAATGAGCATGATTTGGTATTAAGTGATTAAGGGCTTCTATTGACTTTTCTGAACGGTATTCTTGCACAAACCCTACCGTAACGACAATTGTTACCGCGACAGTAATACTGACTGCATCGTCCATATTCCCAACGAAGATGGATAGAAATGCCGAGACAAGGAGGAGCAAGATGAGCGGCTCTCGGAACTGCATGAGAAAGCGGAGCCACAGGGGATCTGGTTCATCGTGTATGATCTCGTTAGGGCCAAAGTCACGCAATCGAGAAAGTGCTTCTCCTGGGGCGAGTCCATGTGTTAACGAAGTTCGTAAGCGTGTAGCTGTCTCGGCGGGGGTCATTGCGGCGTATCCATCGGCTACCGACTAGCACGGATTTTTCAGTCAGTTATTCAATTTCACGACAAGTTTTTGAGAAACGGCTTCCGTTATGGGTAAACGCACCCGCGACTGGGTTGAAGTCGTTCGGACATGGCCAGGGCGAGATGGAGATCTCGAGCGATCGATAGCTCCGTTGCTAGTGAAGTCATAATCGCGATCTACGCCGTTGATGGCGGGGACTGATAATGGAAGAAGCGTCTCGCCTTCCGTTTCGCGATCGCGCCACGGCCATGGCATCTTAATAGGACGATCAAAATGGATGTGCTACAGCAATAAGCATCGACATGGGGAGATTCGATATGGAGAACTGAAGGCTGTTACTAAGACGAATTCATCCTTGGAAAGAATGTGGTCTTGCGTCAAAAAGAGCCGCTGCGAAGGGGAACTTATTGCAGACCCGACTACGTGGGCTGTTGTCGTGTTCGTTCAGGGACAAATGTATAGGTAATGTCGAAAGAATAATTTACATGCTGTGAGGTTGTTAAGATGATGTTGCTCGTTTGGCCTTCAATCGCGGATCTGTCTAAAAAAGAAGTGGATCTTTGGCGCATATATATAGGTAGACTAAAATGATACGTAGTAACGTAGGTACCGACTTACTTACTTGCAGTACATGTACTTACTTACATAGGACGTGAGGATGTATTATGCCTAATACGGCAGAGCGCGACCCAATCTAGTACTTACCCAGCTAGCTTCGCATAGGTAATGTAAGACAAAATGAAACAAGCGCTGGGGCTAAATCACTGGTGCTTGGAGAGTGCTTGTATACCTACTTACGAAAGCGAGTCTCACCCAGATACTCACATTTGCTTTACTATGTAATATCATTGCTTGACTTGCCTAGACCGGCTTGTACGTCCGGCGACAGCATGTATATACCTACCTATGCTGCAGAGCTGGAAAATGATCTCTGATATAAAAGCAAATCGACAGTTCAAATATAGCTAGACCTAGGTAGAATATTGTTTCCTACGCTATTGGCGAGTATCTTGTTATGAAGATATTTATTATCATGGTTAGCTTAATGTTGCAAGTTATAACCATAGGTTGTAACTACCTAAGGTACCTAGTCAATTCTACCGCCTGATGACGACCATAGGTATTAACTGGAAGCATGCCGTCTGTCATTGTGCCGCAGACTACCTAGGTACCTACCTAATGTAGGTACTGTGTAGAGGTAGGTACAGATGGGTACTGTCACCTCCTGTACCATGCAGCACCCTTTATATCTGTAGAAGCCCTGGTCTCTGCCCTGGTTGGCTGCTCAACGGCTGTAACTGTCTATCTGTACTAGAGCACCTACCTAGTCAAGGTAGGCATCCTAGTGCTTTCTTAATGCGTTTAATGAAACTGTGTTATTCTGTTTTGAGTAGTATTGCCACCACCAGCCACAGAGCTTGGCGCTGTATCAGCCAATAAGACGCACGGATCTTGCCTTCGACGTCCCCACATAGCCCAACGCAGCTTGTCCCCAGCCTCTTCGTTTTTTGGACATTTTAGCATGAGACGAGAACAGGGTTGGCCGGCTGTTGCTCATCAAAAACGACGGCCTTGGGTCATTTCCAGCTGCCACCCCCCTCCACCTCAGTAATTCCTGCTAATTCCTGCCTCTACGTCTCCCTCCCACCACCACCGCCAAATTCACCACGACGACACCGCTCGCCATCGTGCGCCCGCCTCCGCTCGTGCTTTCGCTAGAAGTGCTTTCGCATTCGGCTTCGCTACTGCTCGCTATCATCACGCGCAGCAGCGCTTTCCTTTCTTTGCTGGAGGCGCCGCCTATCCAACGCGCCGTTCTGCGGGCCCCCCCAAAACAACGCGCGCCGCTCTGTTTACGCCCACCTCGTTTCGCACCCGCACCCATCTCCAGGTCGCTTCACGGCGTGTCATACTTGCGCATGATCGCGTTTGTCCAGTTTAGTACAGCACTTGTATTACACTTATCAATTATCATTGTCGACGCGCTCGCTAGCCGCCTGGCTGTATAGCATCACATCTCTATCGCTAACTTGCTTGCTGTTTGTCCCTGCTGCTGTCGCCATGTTCTACTCGGAGGAATTGCTCCAGAGGAGCGGGCCTTTGGCCCGTGTCTGGCTCTCAGCGAACATGCACAAATTATCCAAGACGCACGTCTTGCAGTCCAACTTGCCCAACAGTGTAGACGCCATTATCCGGCCTAACCAGGCACCACTGGCGTTACGACTAAGTGGCCAGCTCCTGCTAGGTGTTGTAAGGATGTATAGTCGAAAAGCTCGTTACCTCCTAGACGATTGTAATGAGGCTTTACTGAAAATTAAGATGGTTTGTTTTACTCTCTACCTGCTAACCTACTCCCACTGACTCCTACATTCCAGGCATTCCGTGCCACGGGAAACAACGATATCCCCGAGAACCTCAACATGCCCAATCGAGAAGCACTGATGCTACCAGATACAATCACGCCTGCTGACAACCTCAATATCCTACCACCGCCTGATGCAAACTGGCTACTAAGTCAGATGGAAGACGTCAACCCCACACCCGCCAGCTCGAATACACGCGCGCGGGGAAGGCCTAGCAACCGCGATATTAACCTGCAAGAGGATTTTAACAACAGCCAGTTTTTGCATGAGGACAATTTGGACGAAGACGAGCTTGCCCTGGCACCTATGGATGACTTGGATCTCGAGTTAGACTTTGGGATGGATATTGATGAGATGCCACGTATGGACAAAAGCATTGAAATGGGCCGAGACGCCCCGGCTGCCCGATCTGTTGAGGACGATATCTTCAGCGAGCTCGATATTGCACCCCGTGCCAAAGGTGCCGATGTGGAGCAAACAATGGAATTAGATTTTGGTAACGATGGGGTTCGGATTGCAGACGCTGATGGGGATGTCCAAATGGATGACGATCTTCATTTCGACATCGGTGACCAGTCTGCTATGCCCGAAATGGGCGGTGTCCCTCATATGGATCGCGCACGCATTTCGGAATCACCACTCTCGGATATAGATGAGAACATGGCTAGAGATGTGGAAGAGTGGACACGTCTAAACAACACCAGCATATATGAGCCTGGATATGAGCCCGAGGAGCCCGAGCCCCAACCACAGAAGAAATCGAAGAAGCGCAAGCTCTTTGGTCTTGATCCTGCAACTCAATTGACCAGCGCACATATAAAAGAGCAACAGCAGAACCATGACAACATACTGAAGGCCCCTAGTTTCATCTCTCGAGACCCGTACCTGCTTGCCCTAGTTGAACTCAAGAATAGCGGAAACTTTGTCACGAACATCTTGGGCAGTGGTCGCACAAAGGCCTGGGCACACGAGCTGCGCGACATGTTGACTCTAGACGCTATTAGGCCGGCAAATGACTTGAAGCGGAAGCGTGACAGCGGTGTTGCTGATCTAGGCAGCGAAGAGGAACAGGGCAATTCTAAATCACCCCGCCTTGAAATAGGAGAAGACGAAGATATGCTTGCCATGCCAGACACAGGTTTTGGTGATCGTAGTGTCGCCCCGGATGGCACAATCCTAGAAATACCTGCAGATGACGGAGTTCTAGCCAACAATGACGACGATATCCACCAGCCACGCGACGAGAGCATGAATCCTGCGTTTGACGAGACTGTCGCGCCTCTTGTGCACCCAGCCGACAGTGGACCAGTGTCTCTGGGCACCAAGCATGCTGTACATGTCCTTAGAGAACTATTTGGAGCTGAGGCTGCTACAAATGAGGAGAAACGCAAGAAGACGGTGGTTTTCCAGGACCTGCTCCCTGAAAAACGCGCCACAAAAGCCGATGCTACCAAGATGTTCTTCGAATGCTTGGTTCTGGCCACCAAAGATGCCATCAAAGTTGAGCAAAAGGAAGGAGGCTTAGGTGGTGCAATCCGAGTACGTGGAAAGCGTGGACTCTGGGGTGCGTGGGCTGAAAAGGAAGCCGGCGGTGAGATGGCAGCACAGCAGGCGGACGAGACGGTTACAGAGCCTCAGCCTGCGATAGCTTCCTCATCACGTCCAGTTGCTGCAGCTGCATAGGGTTTGGGTCTTTAGTCTCTCTGGACAGGGATGTGTCTTAATTAGACGGCGGAACGTTCTTGTACAAATTTGTTCATCTGCTTGGGAATGGGCATCTCTTGGGCGGAAGGCGTATAGGTTGCTGGCGTTACAGGAATTGGGAAATACCATGATTGAGGGGCTGCAGAATCTTGGATGTCCACAAAAAAAATGTGCAATGGCATGCGTGTAGTCCGTGAGTGAGGCTGGAATGTCTAAGTAGGCTGGGATGATGGATGGATGACTCGACATAGTTTACATAGACTACCTAAGGTTAGGTAGGTATTTGCAGGCAAATGTGCACAAAACTTGCCTGGTCCATCGAATGCCCAGATTAGGTAATTAAATCAACCAGAATTCACGTTACAAAAAGAAGCCATATATCCGTAAAGCTAAAAAGTGATTAACGTTAGAGGTAAATCTATTGAACCTATTAGATGCTGGTTGATATACCGACCTCCAGATAAAGCAGGGGTATGTAGATAGGTACCTCGTAGGTAGGTACGTACGTAGGTACATATGTAGGTAAGCTATTGGCGCTTATCCCACACTCACACTCCCGCTCCCGAGTCCAGCCACGGACCTCTTTTCCCTTCAACCTCGACTTCCTTGTGACTGATTGTCCGGAACAATGGGCGAGACACTGCATCAAACACCCCGTTCAAATGTATTAACTAACAATAAGCCCTTTGACTCGATGGTTGTCTTTCCCCGGCCCATTGAATTTCTCGACAGCATCTCCCATTCAACAACCCGTTCCATTATTGCTCTAGACCATCCGGGTTGAGGTCATTCAGCAGCCTTGTATAAATCAACTTCGGATGCGCTATAATCTCGGACTCTGGACGAGACCACTTAAAAATACCAGATCTTCGTTTCTCGTTTCTAACAAACAGAGCCGGTTGTTGCATCTTACCTCCGCCCAACATCAAGGCCAAGAAACACAATGGCTGTTAAATCTTTAGTTGAGTTGTGCACCGCAGTGTGCGTCCGAAATATCAAGAGTTAGTATATATGTTTGCCCAACTCCACGCCTTAATATTTGACCCTTTTCATTCTACATTTATACTGACTTTATGGATGGGACAGACATTCGCGACATAGGCACGATGCCATTTCATATCGCGCGCCCGATCCTATTGAAGATTGATAGCCCTGCTCAACTCCGCGAGATCGAAAAAAACTCTCCACAATTAGAGGAGGATACAGCCGAGCTCTGGAAACGCTTGATAGCACGCGACTTTCCTGTCTTGTCGGCACGTGAAGCATTTGTACCCAAAAACCCAAGGTCATGGCACAAGATCTACGCCAAGTATCAACACGAGGACGCCAAAGCTAAAGAAGCCGCCAAGGAGCTTCTCAAGAAAGCATACAAGGGACTCAAGGAAGAGAAAGACCGCTCAACTTGCCAGGTGGTGAATTACGACAGTAGAAAACTTCCTCGACTGCCTCGAGATGTCAAGCCACAGGTGGGTATTCGCGCCAAGGGCAGGCGTGCCGGCCCCGATCAGAGTGAACTTCGCTTTACGGGTGGTTCCAGGACAAAGGTGAATACCCCCAAAAGCTTGCTGAAACGTGCCATGCGTGAAGCGAAGGAAATATCTACCAGAAATCGACTCAATACCTCAGCCGGTGGTTCCGTACGTGTGAGGCCAGGTCAGATTGCCCGAGCACCGACTGGTATGGTACAGGAAAAAGTCACCAAGGCCAGGCCATTGACAGGTATCCGACCACCAATGAGTCGGCGCCAGCTAGACCCGAAGCAGCGTGAAATCGAGGACCGCGAGGCACGACTGCAGAGAGCAAAGGAGATGGGTTCACAGAAGGGCGGGTCCTACATCTCAGATGATGATCTTGATGACCTAGATATTGATGTTGATGATGGTCCGGTTGGTCTTGAGGTAGACGATCTCGAGTCCATGATTGAACAGCCCGAGCCAAGCTACGGGGGTGAGTCCTCAGCATCCTCACGCCTAAGTCCTAGCGCTGCAAGAGGGAGCGTTTTTGCACGCAAGATGGGTTCTTCAGCTGCAGCCTCCTCAATATCAAGGGTTCGTACCGAAGCCCACACGAAACCAAAAACAGCACAGATTCAGAAAGAGCCTCTTGGACCAGCTAGCCCCCCGCCTAAACCTACCCCTAGTTCTTCCTCTCCTGGTCCAGGGCCTGTGCTTCCTCGCAAAAGAAAGGCGGTTGACGTCTTCATGAAACCAAAACCCAAGGTTTCGCGTCCTTAATATCTTAACTAAGATATCTAAGATCTGTTATCCAAAAAGTGTCATAAGACTTTGACTCACTATACCTCTATACTAGTATACTCCCCAGTGGCATACCGCCTTATTGTTGGACTGTCACAACCCATGGCTCTTGACGAAACGTGTTTTGCGCAAAGCTTTTGGCGCCATGTTTGGGATTAGATGGGTTTGGCATTCTGTTGATTCAAGGTGAACTCGGCATTCAATCCGAAAGCCGTCAAATATAATTATTTTTGCTCCCAGGTCTTTGTACCTTAGAACTAGCTATATCATACTATGACTAGATTAGATACAACAGCAGCTAGATAATATGAAACGTAATAAACACAATAAACGGAACCCTTTTGAAAGCTAAGAGAATGATGGTCTCATATTACGTTACTCCTAGATAAGAGTCTAACGTGTCTGGGTAACGAGCTCGCTATCTGGGTTTCGATATGTTGCTCGTAATTTGACCTAGTGCATTGTGTCCTGCCTCCTATCTAAATGTGATTCTCTAATTCCTCTTTGAGTTATGTGAGCGAAGGATTCAGGAAAATGAGGTCAAGAAAAGGGACATGGGCGGGGTGGAATTGGGTCATGTGTTGCCATTCAGCGTTCTATCATGTTTCGTATAACTCTTACTCTATCTAGGGCTTGATCTCTCTCTCTCTCTCTTCGAATCGTCTCTCCCTTCTCGCCTTCAACCGGGTGATCGTATGTATGTATCATAATAATACATACATAGGCAAAGCCATCTATCATCAGCTGAATAAGGGCACAACATAATGCCGCTTCGGTCACACATATATCCCATGTTGTCCCTCGCCGAGCTATTTGCTGGGTATCTGAGGAGAGGTTTGCGTGAAAGTGTTGGGGGGTGGGTGAATATATTAGATGCAGCCTCAGTATCTAATAGACACCTCCTCGTAGCGTCAGGACTAGATGGAGAGTCGCGTCTGCTACTACGCCGCCTTCTCCTAGCTTTACATCATCATGCCTAGAGAATCATAAATTGTTAGGGCGTGGCCTTGTTTATGCATGGGGCGAGGTAGCGCAGCGGCGCTGGAAAGGCGGTCTTCCAATCCCATGAGAGTAGCAGAACTATGCGATATAACGTCCAGACGGACAAGTAGTCTGGAGGAGGAAATAAAAGAAAAGGCAGAGGGGAAAAATCGGAGGGAATCTCAGAAAAGCACTCACATTTGCTTGCCTAGGTAGATCAGTCGCTGTTGCGCGGGCAGGATGCCCTCCTTTTCTTCGACACGCTTTTTCACATCCTCGATCTGTGACAGGTGGCGGTCATAACATTAGCCTCCATGTGCGACTTGCCAAAGTCTACGCTTCGCACCATTTCCCTGGCCGAAGTTGAGTTCAGGGGTATGAAGCACGAGGAGAGAGACAAACTGTGTCTGTGGGCTCGACGTCGAACTCGATGAGTTTCCCCGTCAGGGTTCGCACTCTGTAAGGTGCTAGTTGTCAGCAGACTTATAGACAGACAGAGAGACAGAGACAGGGAAGTGAATATGTTGGCAGTCTGTCTGCTTCCCCAGAAATCCACATATGCGGTTAAACTGTAGGCGATGTATGCGGCTTCGGGAGGATGGCGGGGCAAGGCGCGCGGTCAACGTACTTGATCATCATCTTGACGGCTGTTTTCTCTTGACAACACTACGACGAATCGTTATGGTGGTGGTGGCGGTTTGGTCGCTTCAATGCTGAGAAGAGGCCTGGGGGTCACTGATGCGTTTCGATGCTTAAATGCAGTAGCTTTCGGAGAGGAAGGCGGGAAATGGATGAAGCTATCTAGGTAGGTATGCTGAGCTACCTCGCGGTTTGCTGATAAAGCTCGGGTGAGACAGGCAAACCTGGGGGGGCAGGCTTGATGGCGGGGTGGTTCCCGAGGCGGGGCTTTTTTAGAGCCGCTGCCGAGCGCTGCCTAGACTACCTCGACGTCCTACAGGTTATGGTGCGTGTATGGTGCGCGCACGTAACATCGTAACATCGTGGAAATATATCATTGCACATTACTCAGTATATAGTACAGAGAACGAGCCTTACTTCTAAAATCTGCCATGATTAAGGACAGATGAGGTTTTCACGTTCTTGGCAGCCTCATTGTCCAAAACTGGGTATGGCCAGGAAGTGCTCGCACAAAAGCCTTCCATGGCAGATAATGTACATTGATTATGAATAGGTTCTAGACATACAGTGGAGATTTTCCTCCCTTTAAAGCGGTCACCTTTTCGTTCGTCATTTATGTGTTTGCTCATTTCTTGTTCTGGTCATCGTTACCACTGAACACATTCAAGCCCAACCCCTCCGAGTCTAGCAACAGCTTGTTCCTGCCACCCGCCTCTTGAAGTTGAGTAGCAATAGCCCTCGCGTTCTCGATCTTCTTCAGCTCCACGTACGTCTTGCTCTTCTTGATGGCCTCGCCAATGAGTTCTGCTGATCTTGCCTCACCCTGTGCCTTGACGACCATGGCTTGCTTCTCTTGTCTAGCTTTATCCACAACGAAGGCCGCCCTTTGCGCTTCTTGCTGTGCTACTTGCTTCGCCTCGACAGCAGCCGTGAATTCGGGGGAAAAAGCGAGATGCTACCAGGCCTCTTAGTACTAGTACCGAGAAACCCAGGGCAGGGTTATGTAGGAAATCTTACCGTTAAAGATACGTCATCTAGGAGGATGTTGAATCGTGCAGCTCGCCTCGAGAGATTCTCTCGCACTAGCTTAGCGACCATCTCACGTTGCGTAATCAACTGACTAGCATTAAACTGGGCGACCACGCTCTTCAAGACCTCATTGACGATGGAGGGCAGCACACGTTCATCGTAGTCCTGTCCCAGAGTCCTGTATATCTGTGGGAGTGCGCTGATCTCGGGTCGGGAGAGCACACGACATGTGATGTTAACCATCTGCAAGTCTTTGGTGCCTGTGAGGGACGACACATTCCTCGGCTTCGCACGGACATCGTACGTTATGGGAGTTTCAAACCAGGGGATCATGATATGGGTTCCTGATCAACAGTCGAGTCAATATGGATATTGTAGATAACGCCCACGCCGGCTATCTCTCGGAGGCGTCGGACGCACCTTCATTGTAGATCTCCTTGCTCACACCGCTTATTCTCTTGTACTTGATTGCCCTGTGCCCACCATCGACGTTGAAGAGAGAGTTCTGGAGCAGGACGGCACCCCCAACGAGGAAGAAGACGCCGGCGAGCGCCGTGGCAGATCCCGGGGGCGGACGACCTCCAGGGAAGCCGCCGCGGCTGTTCTGGCGGACGATGGACCGCATCCTCGCCAGGTACTCGTCCATCGAATTGCGCGACATATCGTCGAGCGGTGCGGCGCAGTAGAAGCTGGTGCTGGTGGGGTGTGGAGATTAATAATTGTGGTGGGATATCTCAGCTTCTGGAGGCAGTGATAGAGGAGGAGCTGCTCTCTGCCGACAAGCTCCAATGGGAATGATGATTCCGTTTTTTTGGTAGCCTCCCAGCTGCTGCCAAGAGCCGGCTCCTATTGGCCCGGCGCCTCTGGGTGAGCTTGCGGTCTGTGCATTGATAGGTGCGTCTGTATGTACTTACTCTGTACCGCATACACTCGAAAAACTCGAACAACATTAATAGCGCTACCATATATGCAAGTGGAACAACTGCCATATTGGGCCTATCTGAATCTAACCGAACCAAAGTCATCTTAACCCCCTTTTAGGTGCAATAATTACTTTTTTTAACTTAATATAAGTAGAACTTCAATTTAACCTAGTTTTTTCTACATTAACTTTACTCCTACTACTATAATATCTATATTACTTACTTTTATCCGCCCTTATTACTATTTAAATGCTTTAAATTTACTATTAAAAATGCTTACCTTTAAAGCATTAATAAAAATAACCTATAAATTATTTTTAATTTTACCTTATTATTAAAGCTAATTAGGTAACTTTAATTAACTTATCCTTTAACCTTTTAAAGTTAATCTTTATATTTAATAAAACTTATATCTTTAAACTTTATTAGCTTTATTATAGCCCTTATTAATTATATTATAATTAATATTATAATAGCTATTTTTAATATATAATAATAAATTATTATAATAATTATAAAAATATTATTAATATAAAATATAACTTTAATTAATAATAAATTATATAATTAAAGCTTAAAATTATATTAATAATATTTATTTTAATTAATCTTTAATTTTATATAAATAAGTTATACTTTATAGCTTAAAGCTTATTTTATTAATCTTTTTATAAATTATAAAACTTTTTAAATGTTATAATTAATAATAATATAAATAGTTTTAAAGTTACTTTAATAATAAATTTTATAAAAAGTTTAAATATATAATTAAAGTAAAAGATTAAAGTTAAAGTTAATAAAAAAATAAAAAAGTAAAAGATAAAGGTTTATAATAGTTATAAAAAGGGTTATTTTTAATATTTTAAAATAAAATAGGTTAATTAATATATATTTTTTATATTTAAATTAAATAATTAAAATAAAAGTAATAATACCTTTATTTTAATAATAATTTTTATATAAAATATAATATATATATTTAAATAAATTAAAAAAAATCTAAAAGGTAAAAATTTATATAATAATTAATTTTTTTAAAAGTTTAATATTAATAACCTTTATATTATAACATTAAGGTATAAATAGCTATTATATAAAAAAATATAATTTAATATATTTTTTAATATATTTATTATAAAATAAATATTATATAAATATTAAATAGCTTTTATTATTATTTTATATTATATAATTATTAAAAATA